TAGATATTGTTGATTTCTAAAGCTTATATTAAATAACGAATACTATAATTGTGAATCATATTTTAGGTTTTTATAGCTAAGTAATTTCCTATTAATAGATAATTAGCTTTTTTGGTATAAAAAATATTCTAATTCAAAATTCAACATACTTCTAAAACTAAATACTTCCAAATAATTTTACAATTTTTGATAAATCCATAAATTCGGTTGTTAGTTTTGATGCTGAATAAATTTTGATCATTGATTCTACATTTTTTTAAAACGTTTGTCAATACTGCTAGAATGGTAATTTGTTTATTTAGTCTTCTTAAGCTTAAATTTATTATAGCAGTTTCTAAAACAATATAGTTTTAAACGGAGGAGGAGTTTACTTTAAGCCTCTTCAATAATCTAAGTAAAAAAATTATCATTTAGAAGTTGAATAGAGCAATTTCACTCAAAACATAGCTTATAATAATGGAGGTGGATTATATATAGAAGAGAGCTCTGCTTTAATTTAAAACTGCTCATTTTCTAATAATAAAGCCTATTTATATGGTGGAGCTTTATTACATAATATTTCTAATAATTAAATAGCTTAATAATTATTTAATAACTAAGTGGTTTTATTAAAGAATAATATTTTTCAAAACTAAGCAAGTATAGCAGGAGCATACTATTCAGTTTAAGGCTTGTTTCCTCAATACTTTTACACTAATAACACTATCAATTAAAATTAAGCCAACATATTTGGAAAAGATCTAGTAGGATACGGAGCAGGTATCTAAATAATTATTAATCATATATAAGTAGATTACTAGAATTTTATTTATTCTCACACAACTGGCAAATTTCAGGTAAATATTTTTTAAATAGATTTTCTTAGATAATTTTTAATAATTAAGAGTAATGCCCTTAACCATATTTTCCAAAATAAAATAAAATGACTTGTATACAGTTTTTTTTAATTAAATTGTATATTTTTGGGTGAATAAAATAAAATAAATATTTTTATTTTTAATTCTTAAAAAGGACTCTGTAATTGTTGAAGTAATCAATCAAAATGGAGAGGTTTTTAATGATTAATTGAAATAAATAAACTTAAATATTCAATTAAATTCTAATTTATACACATAGCTTTATTCATTCAGATAAAATAATGGAACATTTAATTTAAATAACTTGATAAGTGTGTATGGTTAGTTTAATAGTGAAGTAGAATTAGTATTTTCCAGCGATATTATTTAAATTCCCCTTTACTAAAATATTTCTGATTCTCTGCAAATTTCTAATTATTCCTCAAAATATTATGCCTTTCTTAAAATAAAAATAAAAAATGAATGCAATCCTGGGTACGAGCTTTAAAAATTTTAAACCATTCTAGACTATTGTTCTCCTTGTTTAGAAGGTTATTATAACACACAACCTAATTAGCATTGTATTAAATGTCCAGATTCAGCCTATTATTGTAAATATCAAACAATTTTGCTTAAAAAGGGATTTTGGAGAGAAAACTCAACTTCTTCAAATATTTTGGCTTGTAATTAAAACAAAAATAGTTGCATTGAAAGTTAAGCAGGAGTAAATTTAGTCAATACAAACTAACAGTGTGCTGAAGGTAATTTTTTTTATTTTAATTTTATTTTAAGATGAAACTTAAAACATATAAGGGTACATTGGACCTATTTGCGATGATTGTGATATAGAAAATCAATATTGGGGTTAAAGATATTAAAAAATAGGAAATAATCAGTGTGTTAGGTAATTTAAAAATTTTTCTTTGATATAAATAATTATATTTTTTATTTTTAAAAAGCTGCTAATAAGATTTTAAATATTCGATTTTGATGTTTACAGGCATAATTTTTTACAGCTTGATATTTTGCATTTATATTACAGATTCAACAATAAATTAGTTCAAGTAACAAGTAGTTGATGAGTATTTTAAAATTTTAAAAATCTATGTTGCAAAGAAATCTCATATTTCAAGCACAATTATAAAGATTTTGATAAACTATTTTCAGCTAATATCCATAATAGTAAATATGAATATACCTATACCAAGAAGCTTAGGCAATTTTATAGTTATTTTTGGTTCTCCTTCTTAATTGAGTTAAACAAATTTAGATTGCTTATACGTTTAAATTGCAAAATTTTTTGGATTGCAGTTTTTGTATGCTAAATTTTTAATAGGCTAGATTTAGTTAGTAATTATTTGCTTAATGTTCTTTGGCTTTTATAGAATTTTTTGCTTATATATGAAAAGAAGATTCCATTTATATCATTTAATTACAGGATTGGTTTTAATTTATTATTAAAATCTTTCAGGGATTATTTAATAGCTGCTTGGTAGTGTAAATTATTATTTTTAATCAAATAAGTTATTTAAACTTTTATTACAAAAAATTCAAAAGATTTCTTGCAGAAAAATTGGTTAAAGAAGTTATGTACTTGATTACCCATAGTATGAATGCAATGATGAGCACCTAAAAAGCGCTCTTTATATCTTATTTCCTTTTTTATTTGTATGGGCTATAATTATACCTCTTCTATTACTATATTTTTTATTTAAAAATTAATTTAATTTGAATAAACTAAAATAACTCACTTTGTTAGGTTTCTTATATGAAGGCTATGAAATAAATTAGTATTACTGGGAGATTATTTAAATAGCAAAGAATATTTTAATAGCCTTCTTTTTGAAATTTTATGGAGACTTTAATCCCCTTATGTACATTTTATGTGCTATTACTATATTAGTTTACTCAATGCTATTATAAAAATGTAAAACACTTTCATTAATATATTTTTTTAAATAATAATTCAAACTTCTTTTTATTTATAGTCAAACCTCTATCTTGTTAAAGGTTAAATAATCTTAATCTAACTTGCTCTTATTACTCTATTTTAATAATTATGCTAGGACTAATAGCATAAGAGTTCTAAATTTATGCTGTAAGCATACTTTGCCTTCTTTTGATTTTAATACTTAACATATGTTTGGCAGTTTAAGTAATACAAATAATACTAAAGGAATATTTGACTAAAATAAAGCTATTCTTTTATCCTCTGATATTAAATTTATTAGATAAATTACATATAAAAGTTGATAAGACACTTTTTAATATAATAACCAAATAACATGTGATTGATTTATGGAAAAAAATAAAATTTTAAGTTCACAATATAAATAAAAAAGTAAGTAAGAGTAATAATTTTTTAAGCTAATAATTCAAAGAAGACCTATTTTATGCTAACCTATAGGACTGCCTAAGATATGCTTAAATGGAGATAATACTAAGAAAAACAAAAGTTTTGAACTAACATCAATCACAATTTAATATCAAATAATCTCATACTTAATTAAGCAAATGAATGTTTTTAACAAAATATAGATACACTCAAATAAATTAAATTAGCAAAACAATGAATAGAATATCTATTATATTTTTTTAATAACCTAAATTTAACTTTTGAATATTCAAAATCATACATATTTTATTAAGTAAATTATTAAATTATTATGTAAAATATACAGAAAATAATAATATGATAATTAAATTTGGATCATTAAAACATATATGCTCTTGATTGAAATATTGTATCAATAAAAGGTATTATTTATGGATTTTAATTATAATTGACTATATATTGAAATCCTGTTAATATATTTCTTTGTTTGTTATTTATTTATTTATTTATTTATTTAGGTAAATTAATTAATATGATAAATTTTAAAAGATTTATTAATAATAAAATAAAAACAAAATCTCTAAATTATCATAATAAAACGGCTTCTCCAATTTATAATTGATTTTACTATTTCTATTGATTTTGATTTTAAGATGGCTTATAAGAAAATATTCCGTTTGGAGGCATTTAATCTAAATTTTATCCTTATATCAAATTTCTTTCTTAATCTTATGTAGGTAGAGCTACAATAGCATTTACATGCTTTTACTATTATATATTATTTATTTAGATACTATTTATTTAGATATTATTTATTTAGTTATTATTTATTTAGTTATTATTTACTTAGTTATTATTTAATTCAGAACTTCTATCTTCTGAATTTTATTAAACTCTTTAAGAAGGAATATAAAGCATTCTATATCCACAAATAAACAAAATTGCATGTAAAACTATAAAAACTATCATCAATATTTTTCCAGTAGTAATCACTGAATGGTTTGCACTTACAAATGAGCATTAGTCAGCATCTGTATTATTTGAGCAATCAATACTCTAGAGTTCATCTGCTTCATTTTTTTACTAAATATTAGTTATGATAAGTAAGATTATTTAGACTAAAACAAGCATTGTTATTGTTTTTAATGTTCTGTATATAAACCTACTCTAAGTAATTAACGTATACTCAGTTGCAGCTTAATTTAATTTTTTTATGTGAAGAGAAGCCTTAAAGTATAAAAGCAATAGAAAACAATCAACAATAAATAGAAAAAATAGAACTCTTAATTAATTTTTAAAAAAATGGTCAATGAAGCAACCTCCCGAACAAATAGCTGTTAAATCTATGAAGTAATTTATAATAATCATTAGGTTAAAACAAAGTAATATAATATTTACCCCAGTTAAGAAAGATATTATTCTCATCTGTTAATTACTCTCCAGTTTTATATAACTAGTTAGTTCCTACTTATAAAAAGGTTATTCAGTTTATATTTTTTTTACAATTAGCTTTATCTAATCTTTAGTTTTTTTATTAAAAATTTTTTTCTTGTTATTTTGAATTTATTCTAAGATAGTATTCACTAAAAACTTACCAATTATTAATAAATAAGCAATTGTTTGCTAGACTGAAACTAGTGAATGTTGGATTTGTTTACATCAACACAATTATTTTTTCATTTAATAGTAAAATATAGAAAAAAAATAAAGATAAAAAAATATTTATCTAAAAATGAAAAGAAAATGAATTAAAAGATATTAAACCATTTTTTTGACATATCCAAATGTTTTAGTAATTATTTTTTTTATTGTTTATTTTATATTTATAAAAATATGTTTAGATGATATTAATTTAAGCATTTTATTTTATCTTCTTGTCATTTATAAAATTATTTATTTTTTATTTGTATAGTAATCATAACCTAAAAATTCCAAAAAATAACAAATTTTTTGATCATTTTAATAATTAATAATGGTAAAGAAATTATTTTTATTATATAATAATTAAAGATTTTAAGTGTAAATGTATTAAAATTATGATCCTGACTGAAATAGTATGCTTTATTTTTTAAAGCTTTGTAATAGTATTATTATAGCTTAACTAATTTTTTACACTTCAAATTAAAATTCTTAATTTAAAATCAGAATTATTTCTAATTTTGGGACTCATACTTTCATTTATCTTTTATATATTTAATAATTTTTACAAAACAGTTTAAAAAGAAAAATTAAAAAGGTCTTTTTACTTTGAAATAAAAAATAATAGTAAGTGTAGGAAATAGGACATTTATATGGGTAGATGTAAAGTATTTCTCTTATTTTTGATTGCAGATTACTTTCAAAATAAATAATTTAAAAATCAGATAAACGATGGATTAAGAGATAAAATATCGCCTAAAAAGATAACTTTAGATTAATATTTTTATTTATGTTAGCAAAATATTTTTGATTATATTCATAATTGTAAATATAAAAGAATGAACTAATGTCATAAATTTTAAAGTAATTTTGGTTTATTAAAAAAATGAAATACTAAAAAATAATGTTAATATAAAATACGCAGGTAGGATTACTATAAATTTTTTTATTTTGTTAGGATATTTAAGTTGAAAAATAAAGAAGCAAATAATATCTTAGTTTTTTAAAGTTATAACCAAGCAAAACAAAAGGAAAATAATAAAGTTATCTATAAGCTGAGGTTATAAATCTGTCATAAAGTATTGTTAGAAATCTTTGGTAATTATATGTCACTTCATGAGTTGATTTAGTTATAATATTATAACATTATTTCTGAAAATTCTAAAAATAAATTGAAGTTAATATATGTTTGTATGCTAGGTTTTTTTAAAAAATATTTACCTAACAATCTTTCTTTACTAATAAGCATAAATTCTTTCCACCATTAGAAATCATAGAATTTTTCTTCAATATGCAAATCTTAAATCTGCTAATATTTGATTAGGTCTAAGGCTAAATAAATGCAGCTTTTAGCCATTTCAATTTCAGAGAAACTCTATAGATCTACATATTGAGTATCATTAGATAGATTTAGTATATATTGAGAAACATTCTTTTCAACTTTAAATTAGATAATACATTTTTAATTAAGTTAGTGGCTAATTAAAGTAAATAAATTTGTACATTAAAATATATGTAAGTAATTCAAAACTATTTCTGTAAAGGACATTTTTTTAGTCAAGAGATTATAATTAATTAGGCGGAGAAGATGCTGCTCGCATTGTAATATTTCATTTTTTATCTAAGAATACTATATTTAATAATAGTTTTATATATCTATCTATCTTAAAAAATATTAATCTAATCAATTACTATTTCCAAAGTAAAAGTAGGAGCAAAAGATTCTTCTATAGAGCTTCTTTCCATTTCATATAAAAAATTTAATTTTATATATTCAGTTTCATTTTGCTAACTATCTTGTTAATCTTCCATTGTATCAATATCACTTCCTTAGTTTTATTGCATTTGCATTAAAGCTTGCTATTTTAACCTTTCTTTTTCTGCAGCTTTTAGCTAATTTGCATGTCTGTATAATCTAGTTACAACAAAGCACATATTTATTATATCTGTTATAATATTAAAAAAATATATAAATAAATATATTCTCTAATGCTCATTTTAAATATACCTCTTATTTTTTTATTTTCTTCACGAGTTTTTGAAACCAAAAAAATACAAGCTCCAATAACTATCTTTTTTAAACATCATATTTTTTAATAAAACTTTGTGATGATATTTCTAAATTCTTAAATAAAAAAGTCACGAAAACAAAGGTTTACTTCAGATTTAAATCTATTGCTTTCTGAATTTGTCAAGAGCTAATAATATTCTATTATTAACGCAATTGCATTTTAAGAAAGACGTAATGAAACTCCAATTTCTTCAATTAGAAACAAAAATTCCTCTTATCTCATTTTAATTACAATGTAAATAATGTTAGAATCATTCTTTGATTGATTTTGAAAGACACTTAGTTATATATAAATATGTGTTTAACTATTTAAATCTAACAAAAAATATCAAAAAAAAAAAATTGCTTTGATATATTAAAAAAAAATAATTAAAACAAAGAAAATACTATTAATAAACAGCAATTTATTTTTTATTTAAATTGAAATGTTTTTGTCATTATTTTATAGCTTTTTATTTTAGTTTAGAATTTATTTTGTATGCTTTAAGAATAATTTAATACTTAATTGCTTTAGTTTTTTTTAAACTGAAATAGAATTTTTGTTTAAAATAACTATTTGTGAAGAACATTTTTAGAATCTATTTATAATAAGTTGTTTTTAATTACAATTTCCATAAAAATTTACAAAAAATACAAAAAAAATAAATTTTTTTTTTAGTCAAATATTCTACTTTTAAACACAAATAAATTTGTAAAAGTTAGAATAAAAGTAAAAACCATTCATTCATTAAGTAAATATTTAATTACTTTTTTTTACTTTAGTATTAGTTTAAATGTTTTTTTTAAATTTAAATGTAATATAAGATTAATTATAAGATTATAATTTTTATCTTAATTAATCAACTAATTCATCTGTTAATATAAATAATTTGAAGTTTATTTACAAATTGAATCAAGCTATATTTCTAGGTTTATTTAAGTAATTAGTGTATAAGAACAAGTAACAGCAATAAGAGTCATTTGAAAAGATAATATATCATAACTGTTTTTTATCCTATTTGCGTTTATTATACTTTTAGCAGATTATATATGTAATAGAATCAGCAAGAAATAAGTAAGAACAGCTAAGAGCCATAAATAGATTATGTTCAAAGCTTAAATTAGAAAACTAATACTAAATAGAAAAATAAATTGCTGAATGAAAGTAGTGCTACTAACACTTATAGAAACTCAAAAATAGAAAGAAATAATAAATATAATAGCCCAACTCAAAATACCTCATCACTAAAACCAAAATCTTAAAATGCGATATTGCAAAACCCATCAAGTTATTAGATTAGATCATAAAAAAACGATGAAAATGATAATCGTGCTATAGATGAATAAAATATTATCAAAGTAAATAATAAGGTAAGAACAATTTTTAGAGGAGGCATAATAGGTATGATGCAAGGCAAGTCTAAGAAAAAGAAAACCTAGATTAGCAGGAATGACTCTAAAAACAGTCTAAAAGAAGTAGAATACCTATTTATTATTTTGATTATTACTATTTAAAATAAATAGAAATAACTTATTGTTGCTTCAAACACTTTTTATAATATTAGGATTAAAATAAACTCTCAAGCTTATTTTTTGCATTAGAGTAATTATCTAGAACTGAAAGGATATAAAAAGCGATTAGGCATTTTTAAGATGCTATTAATATTAGGCCAGTCAGGCATGATATTGAATGTAAATGCTAAATTGAAATTTTGTTTGATTTAAAATAACATAGTTAAATATTTAAATAGTGCATGAAAATCGTTTGATCCCTTTTATTTACTTTTGGCAAACATCTTCGTCTTGGTAGATGTTTTTATCAACTCTAGCTTTTTTATATCCATTTTGCTCATTTATTGAGCCTCCAAACAGATTTGTGAAGGATTTCAATGATAATTCAATTCTTTTAGCTGTAGAAACTATTATATAAGGTTTTATATGGCTAGACATTATATTAGAAGTTTTTCATAGGTACCATGATAAAGATAAGAATCTCTTACAGCATTATTTCAAAAACTTTAAGTTTTCAACAAAGATTATTGTTGTCTTAATTCTTCTATTAGACGAAATAATATTTCATTCTTCGTTTCCTCAACTGACTTACAGATTTTCTAGATTTATCAGGCCATGTAAATTAATTATTAAAACCTCTTTACACATATAAAGTTGAAAATATTTTTATAAATTAAAATATTTAAAAGTTTTAATATTTTATTATTCATATGAGTTGAGGAGAATATTCGTTAGTATTTTGAAATCTCTAAAGCAAATTTTATAGTTGGTAGTATTTATTGCATTTTTGACTCTTTTTATTGCCATTGTAGGATGGAGATTTATTGGAAATTTAGATGGCTCAGTTCAATATGATTCCTATTCAGTAGATTGATTATTCATTTAATTATTTACTATTCTAATATTAATTAATATTATCTAAAAGAGTAATTTCAGTAATCTATTTTCAGCAGCTAGTAACTTATACTCCTTGATTAGCTTTGATAGCTATCCAACTTTGATGATACCTGCTTATAGTAATTCTTTTATTCAGAAGTGAATTCATTTTTTTTACGTTAATTTACTATTAAATAAAAGCTTACTCACCAATCTTCTCTGTGTATTTTGTATCTTATGGAACTCTCCTATGTCTTTTATTCATTCCTATTCCAGTATCTGTTGTTTACAATTCTTTTAGGGTATATTTTTTATAAAATATATTTTATTAATAAAAGAAACTTTTATTCTTAAATAGATGCATAGAAGTAAGCTTGTCATACTAGATAGATTTAAATAGAGAGAAGCACTTCTTTCATGCTTTATATCTTTAGATTTTAATAAGTAAATTTTTTAAATTAATAAATATCCTACAAAACATAAAATAAAAAATAATTTTATTTAATTAAAATATTTTTTCAATATTCTTACTTTCTTAAATATTTGTTTATTCATTTAATTAATTACTAATTTGCTTAATTTATTACTACTTAATTACTTACTTATTTACTAGCAAACTTAATATTTTATTTATTTAAAATTTTTTATTTTCAGTTAAAAATATATAGATATTAAAATTTTTTCTGAATTTATGAGTAATTTGTATCTGAAGAAAAAGAGCTTTTTAAAAAAAATAAAATAATTACACTGTATTTTGGATACAAATTAAACTCAATCTCTTTCATTGAATGAATTCTTTGAAATTATAGATGTTATGGAAAAAAATCCTCGTTTTTAAGTCCCAGCATTTAAAGATTACAAATCTTGGGACATTTTTAGATAAAAAATGAACTAAAAGTTTTACTGTAAAAAAATTGCTAGAAGCCCTATTTTTGATGTTTCAATGCTTCTAATACTAATAATAAATTGTGCTATATTGTTTATAAGTATGACCTCTGATAATTAATCAACTTAAAGCTTAATGGATTAGATAGATGACTATTTTTTTTATGCCTACTTGTTAGAATTTTTGATAAAGGTAATAGGAATTGGAATCGAGAAATATTTTGAGGATTCTTGGAATTGTTTTGACTTTTTTATGGTTGTAATGTCATTTTTAAACATAGTTCTTTCTACAACACTTTCTTTTTTACAAAATACGAAATCAGCAAAAGCTACAAAGCTTCTTCGTTTAACTAAGATAAATAGAGTATTTAGAATATTTAAAGCACTTCGTTCAATCAAATTTTTAAGTATTTTGTTAGCAGGTTTTGAGCTCTTCTATTAAGTAAAAGATTTATTGATAAAAATTTTCATGTGTCTTCCAATCGGTAAAATTTTTATTAGCAAAATTGAACTATGATATTTATCAGATTTGTTTATTTATTTTTTAATTAAGTGAAACTAAGCTGCTTTCTCTTTTTACTATAAATATACTTATTTAATCTAATTTTCTTAAAAATTTATTTTACTTTTTATAATAAAAGTCGTAAGATTAATTCCTATTATTTTAGTCGTTTATTACATTTACACCTATATTGGACTTGATAATTTTAATACAAATACTTTTAACTACAATTAAAACTCTCCTTATGATTAAGGATATGCTGATTTTAATAATTTTTATGGGGCTATGTTAATATACTTTTAAATTATGATTGAAGCAAACTGGAGCTCTTATATTTATGATATTGCATACAAATTTGATATTCCCGTTTAAGCTAATATTTTATTTATTTCTTATGACTTTATTTAAAACTTCATATTGCTCTCTCTAGTCAAAGGTAAAAAAATAAATAAAATATATAATTAATTACTTTTTCTCACATTTGTTTTAATAATATTTTTTTTTAAATTAAATATAGGAATTGTTTGGGAAGTATTTACTGTAGTAAACTAAGAATTAAAAGAAATAGAATTAAAAAATGAATTACTAAACAATCAAAATTTAGCTTAAGAGTAAAAGGATTTTAATAATATGGTAAATTTAAGCAGCAACAATTAAGAAGATCTTTTAAAAAAGGAAAATTTATAATCTAACACTTAATTTAAAACCCATAATTTTTTAAAAGAACTTGAATTAAATAATCTTTAAAACGAAAACAATAATTAAAAAACTTCTGCTCCCAGTTAAAAAATATCTTCCGATATAAAGGGAATTCTTTTATATGAAAAAGTACTTAGAAATTTATAACATCTCTCTCATAATAATAGCATTATTTACAACGAAGGACAAATTCCTCATAGCCCAAAGCTTATTCAATCTGTTTACAAAAATTTTACTGAAGAAAGCAACAACGAAAAAGAAATTATTAATGAACGCACAAGCATAAGTGAAAATAGAAATATGATTTATTTGACTAAATAAATAAAAAATTCCCCTTAAAAATCAAAAGATAACTTTCTAGATAAAATGCTATAGAAATAAGACTACTTTTCTTAAAATTTAAAAAATCCTCCTTCCTCAATTGAAAACTTAGATAAAAATTTTGGCAAGCAAATAAGCTGCATGAACAAGAAATTATCTTCTTAAAAAAGAAGAAGAAATAGTGAAAATTTGTTTGATATACAATCCTAAGTATTGATGAAAAATAGTTAAAACGCTATTATAAATAAAAATCTTAATAAAATTGATATTAGTTTTGACGATCTTTAGTAAAATAACTAATAGATAAAAAAATAGAGTAAAGAGATAATAAATGATAATTAAAACTCTGCTTAACCTCAGCTAAAGCATTAAAAAACAAAATTAGAGAGTGAATCATGTTTCTCTAAAAATGTATCTTTTGCTTTAATAAATAAATCTATAGGAGATAAATCTTTTTTAGACCGCCAAGACTCCTCTATTTCTTAACAGCCATTAAAAAGTGAGAGCTTAATGAAATCTTAAATTGAAGGTCCTTACATGTTAAGGTACAATCTTTATTTTTGTTTTCACTAAAAATTTTTATTTTTATTTAATTTATAGTGAAGCACCTGATTAAATTGCACCTTAAAAAAGCTATACAAATTTAAATTCTATAACTCAAAATGATATATCTGAAGACATTCCATAAGAAAACGAAGATATTAACAAAATAACAAATGAATAAGTTTATTGGATGAAAAAAAGAATTAAACCATTGGAATATCTAAAAAGATTGTAGAAAAATAAAAAAAAAGAAAAACCAGATTAAAAAAAAGAAAATCCATTAGATTTGAATGAGCTATATATCATGTCAGAAGATGAAGAAACAATAAAAGCTTACCAAAAGTAAGTTAATGATTATATTTAAGATGAAGATTAGGATTTTTCAAACTTTAAATCAAACTCAGTGACTAAAGAAGATGCAAATTAATCTCTTAACTTTTAATATATGATGAAAAAAGCTCTTTTAAGTGATTCAAATATGGACATGATTAAGAAATTAGAAATTGATTATTTTTAATTTACTTATGGAAGCTATTTCAACGCTTTCCATGAAGTAAAAATATCACCTATTCTTAAATATGAAAGCTATATTATTTATAACCTACAAAGAATTTTAAGGCACAAAACTTTAGATTGCTTGTTTTTTTTCAATGTACTTATAAATTTTGAAAAAAATCTCTCCAACATTTTACTAAGAAAAGGAAGTTTAGTTAAATTTGTATTTTAGGTAATTAGTTTTACACAAAAATAAAAAGATAATTTTCTAAAAAAATATTAAATAGGATTCTTTTGGAAATTGGATTTGCTTTAAAGAAATGAATAGAAACATTTATCCTTGCCTACTAGGATAAGGACCTTGGACTTTCTATGAAAAAGTATTCAAAAAAGATGATATCTACATAAGCAGAGATTTCTTTTAAATTAACTAAAATTAAGTACTTTAGAATTTGATTCATAAGTCATATGAATAAATGAGGATATGTGCTAAGTGTATTGACAATGATCATCCATTTCTTAATATCAACCCATAAAAATCTATATTGTAAAAAATTTATTATTTAATGAATACCTAAAATTATTTTTAATATTAAAAGCGACTTCTTCACAATTTGTAGCTAAAATAAAAATGAAGACAAAGTTGTTTCTTTAACAAGTCAATCTAACAAAAAATTATATCCAGATATTCCTACATCAGTCTAAATTTATTGTAAAAAGGTTATGATGGTAGTTTTGTCTTACGTAGGAGAATCTGATGAATAATAATAAGAGGAAGATTAGGATATAGATAATAATAATAAAAAAAAATAGGGAATATTTAGTAACATATTTAACCAAATTGAAACAGAATAAGTACGCAAAAGAGCTAAATAAAATCCTAAAAATATAAACTTGAATGAAATCAAGTAAAAATAGACATAAGATAAAGACAAGATTAATGAGTAAAGTACATTACCGATGGGATTTCTTGTTGAAATGATACAAAGCATACAAGATTTAATTAACCTATATTAAGTTAATTTACACTTAAAGGTTTCTGAGGTAATCAATCAAAAGGTATTCTCAAAGAATTATTTAGATCAAATTATTTAAGAAAATAACATAATTGCAGAAGAAATCAATGAAAATAAGAAGAAAAAAATGAAATAGGAACAAAAAAGCAAGAAGGGTATTTTTAAACTATTTAAAAAAAAAGAAAATCATTGAAAATGTTTACTCCTTTTGTTTTTTAAAATGAAAGATCTCTTTTGTTTTTAAACCAGTACATGTTTATCATATTTATTTTTAACTCAAGAATATTAAAAATTAATTTTATCATTTGTATAATTTCTTTTAAAATGCAATCGTTTAGTTCTAGTTGATTATCAAAAAATTTTATTGCGTTTGTTTGTTTCTTTGTTTCATTTAATGTATTTATTTATTTTCTGAATAAATTTCAAAAATATTGAGTTATTTATTTGTACTTTTCTGAAGACAAAAATAAAAGTTAAATAGAAAATGATTTGTTATTAGGAGATATGGAAAAATTTGTGAAAGAAAAAAAACAAAAACAGTATAAATAAAATCATATTGTTATCGCATACCTCAAATTAATTATATTTTATTACATAAAAATGTAACTTTACTCTTTTAAAAGATATTTATTTGGGTTTTTAAAATTTCTTAAAAAAAAGAAATAATCAGTTATAAAATTATCATTTTTTTGTACAAATACAGATAGATAGATAGATTTGCAGTTTATGGTAAAATGAGACTTTCGAATTACTGTAGAAAATAAGGTCTAACCTTAAAATTTTTATTCAACACGCAAAAAAATAAAATAACAAGTTATTGATAGAATTAGTACATTTAACAAATGAGTTTCTAAATATCTATCCTTCATGCGCTGGAACTCATTTATTTATATAATTATGTATAATTGTAGTTGAAGATATATATCATTTTTAGTTTTTAACATCATAGAAGTATAAATCAGCAAATAATTTGCGCAAGATACTTTCAAATATTAATTTAATTAAAATTACAGAAAAAAATAAACAAATATATAAAAGTAAAATAAGTTAAAATGGAAGAACCCACTCCTTCATACAAGATTATTTTAGTTGGTGACTCTAGTGTAGGTAAGACTTGCATCTTTAGTAAATACATTAAGAACTAATACCCAAAAAATGTTGAACCAACTTTAGGCTAGGAATTTAAAACAAAACCTATTACTCTCCCTGATGGAAAATTAGTAAAAGCTAACTTATGGGATACCGCTGGTTAAGAAAAGTATAGATCTTTAATGGCAACAAACTACAGAAAGGCTGTTGGAGCTATTTTAGTCTATGATATTACTTAAACACCTTCATTCACAAACCTTTAACAATGGCTTCAAGATATTAAATTATAAGCTGAACCAGATGTAGTAATCACATTAATAGGTAATAAAACTGATTTAGAATCTAGTCGTATGGTTAGCACTGAGCAAGGATAAAATTTTGCTAAATAAAATAATTTAAGCTTCTTTGAAACATCTGCCCTCAACGGAGCAAACTTAGGTTAAATTTTTGAAAGTCATTTATTAGAAATTACTAATAAGAAGAAATAGGCTTAATAATTACCTCAAGGTACTTAGCCTGTTGCTATTAGTAATAACACTTAAAAATAACCAAGTTCAGTCCAAAATCAACCCTCTCGTGAAATGGGAGAAAGTGGTTGCAAATGCTGAGCAATATTATCAGCTATAATTAATATTATTGAATTAAATTATTATCAACGTCATGTTTGTTTATTATATTTGAGATATTTTTTATTTTTTCTTTCTTTGTATCTTAAACTAACAACTAATTTTTTAGACGAATTAAATCAAGTAAAAGATATCAAAATTTTGATATAATTTTAGAGATAGATGAGAAGTAATCAAATTAAAATTTATGAGCAGTATATCAATTATGTCAATATTTTATTTATTACTGGAATATTTAATTTAAAATGCTTAACTTAGAGATTAATGATAATTTATTTACCATAATCTTTCAACACAATCTAAAATAATATTTACATTAATTTTCTTCATTTAATAGTCTTGTTAATTAATCACAACAACAAAAATCTTAATTAAAAATAATTATTTTTTTTTTTTTCAATAATAAAATTAAAATTATTATTTAAAAATAATTTCAATTAAAGTTGAATGAAATTTAAAATTTTTAAATAAATAAATCTTTGTAATTAAGAAAATTCTAATTTTTTATAAATTAGGAGACTTTCCTTGTTTTATAATTATTTACATATTTTAACCATCTAATCAATTATGGGAGATTAGATAAACCGGACGGACTGAAAAGTATATATAAATATTTAAATATAGTTTTTTAAAAAATTAGATTTTATTATTAATAAAAATTAGAATTAAATAAAAGGGTATTAGGAATAAAAACAAGTATTAAGGATAATCTTTAAATTTACAAATGAAATCTAGGTTAAAATTTTAAAAATTAATCTATATATCATTCATTTTGCTAGCAGTTCTAGCTCAAAGCACTTTATGTGGCGAACCGTTTGATACAGACGAAAAAGTTCATTAGATATTAGAACTGAACAAGGAAAAATAATATTTCTTCAATGGAACCCGTTTTAATTAAACAATTTATTTGAAGTATACATTTGAAGGAGATTTTGATATAGAAAACGATCTACTACTTATAGCAAGACCTAACGATTTTAAGTCTGATCCTGATGTTTTTGTTAGTAGGTATCACACATATTTAATATTTTAATTCTTTCTCTTAAATTTTATATTTGCTTATCAATCTTTTTAATTTAAAAGGACAATACAATTTCCTACTCCAGATAATGCTGATTACAGATGCTGGCACTCTGGATTAGAAATATGTTATATAGCACCAAATTGGTTATAAGGAGCTAAAGAAATATATATCACACTATTCAGTTACTAGCCTCATTGCAATTTTACTTTTGAAGCTAGACTCCAACATCGTACAGAGTAAATTATTTAATGGAACTAAGATACTGTACTTTTCCTGGGCGCCCCTGGCGAAACTCATTAATAATCTCAATAAGTGGTAAAAATATATGTCCCTCCCGATGAATCTATTGAACATTTCACTTTTTCAGCCATAGTAGACCCAGTTTCACGTTAAAGTAATAAAAATGAAATATTATCTCCTTATTTTAATATTTTAAATTTACTTTAAATAATTAAATAAATTGATTGATTTCAATATTTAAAAATAAATTGTTAATTGTTTCAAATAAAAATTTTTAAACTATTTTAATTAATTTTTTAACATTTATTTTAAATAATAATATTAAAATTTAGATTTAACTGAAGCAATAAAGTTGTATGTTATGTTTGGAAATGAAACCCCTTCTAACTCTAGAAGTCTATGGGGTATTTATAGCTCAAGTTATGGAGAGACATTCACGTCTTTTAAATATCAGCCAACATTTAGGGTAAGTTTATTTATTTTTTATACAATAAAGTAAATAAATAATATAAAAAAAAGACTGGTATCAATTATACTATGCTAATAATTGGATAAACAAATACTACTGTAAATCTACTTTGCAGAAAGGATACAAATGAACCTGTAAAGCTGAAATTTAATCTTAATAGTGACAAACAAAAAACATTGTACGATGCTATCCCAGTTGGCCGCTACTTGATTTATGAATTAGATACAGGAGTTATGCATAGAGATGCTAACACAAACAAAATAGACTAAACACTTTTGATAAATTTATTAGTTTAATAGGGTAATCCTGATATGTATATAGATTGTGATTAGCCTTTAAGCTTAAATTCTCTTGATTAAGCTAAATGGGTCAGTGACTCAAATGGGGAAGAAAGTCTAATTATAAGTGCTTAAGAATTTTAAAAATATCAAAAGTAATGTAATAAACTATACATATTAGTTTATGCCAGAGTTTGTGCTGCTTTTGCTTTAGAATTCTCTATTAGAGACTAGTTTAGAGATGAAGATATTATACTCAGCATTTATCCTTCTATTTCTGAAAATGGCTACATAGAAGATAACTAAATAGTTAATTATCTTCTTTAAATGGATAAATACACACAAGAAACTGTATAAGTGAGCTTGTTTGCTAAAAACGGAAATCCTGATTTATACATTAAAAAGTATTTGATAATTTTTAATTTTTTAACAAAATATTCATTTTTTTCGAATAATCTAAAATTTAAAATCATTCAAATAATTAAAAGATGCAAAGACACTAAAAGTTGCAGAGCTACTAGAAAAGAACTTGAAAATATTAATCAAGATAACAAATCAGATTTTATAGGCTTATCCAAAGAGTTAGGAAATGATTTTATTACTTTCTAACACTCTGTTGCTAACTGCGAAAACTCAAATAGCATTTATTGTTAATATTTAATCACTGTTTTCTCTAATCCTGCACTCTAAAACAATTCTCCTACTTAAGAAATTCATTATAGCTTACTGGTTTAATACCAAAGTAAAAGCGTGTAATTATTAGAGAATAATCCCCTTTACTAACAAATTGGTTTGGAATAATTTAATTATTACTCTTATAGCCTTGTTTCATTAGAAGGAATAAAAAAAGTCTATTTTTAAGTAAAAATAATTTTTTAATCAAATAGAAATTAAAAATTTTATAAAAATAAAAGGTTACTCCTATTAGCGGTATTATGGAATTGCTAGTTTCCAGGTATCACACAAAACCTAATTTTAGAGAAACTGAGCGTATTGCCTGCTTTTGTTCTAACGTCATTTCTTATAGTGTAGAAGAACTCCTTTAATAAAATTAGCAGAGCATTAACTTTTACATGAGCGTTTATGGCTTTTCTAATTCAATTTATACAATTTCTGTTTATATTGAAAGGTTTTAGAAAGATGAAAATGGAAATAATGATCCAAATTCTTCATTAATCTCTATGGTCCTTAAAAATGATATCCCTTAAAAGTATGTTTTTGATCCCACAAACAGCTATGTTTACTTCGACATATTCGAGACAGATAGTGACCCTGTTGTGAGTATAAATCCTTTAAAAGGTGAATTCCATATTGATGCTTGGCCTTTACTAAGCTCAAATTAATAAAACTACACACTCCCTGATGATAATAGCGGTGAAACAGTTTACAAAACCTAATATAATTCATTGATTCTTCATGTAAAGAATGTTTAGTAAAAAAGTCAATTTAAAGGATTTAGAGTTAGAATTCAAAAATTAACTAACAGAGATCAAGCTCAGTTTACTATTGAATATTCTAATTAATCTTAAATAACTACCTTATATGAAAATTATCCAATATAAACATACATAAAGCCAGATGAAACGAAATTTTTTAAATTTGCAGTAACTTATGATGATTATGTAGTTGCAGTTGCATACACTTCCGCTCATACTGGTCTTTTCATGGAAATCTCAGGAGTAAATTCAAATAATATCTAATTGTAAAATAATTAAATTATTTTTATCTATAAATTAGGATAAGGTTCACCAAAATGACTCGTCGGTAACATATCAAACAAATTCTATGAGTGAGAGTAGCATTTAGATATTTTATCCATTCAATCAAGAATGTACTTAAAAAGTTGAATAAAATAATGAATGCTTTTTATATGGATCTATATAAATGTCTGAATAGGCTTAGTAGAAATATACATAAGAAATGTATTCTCTCCCAACTGAAATATACCTTATAAGATTCAATAAGTAACTAAAGACATAAAATCTCAATTTAAAGGATGGATCAATCAATTATTATCCTCTACCTGTAGATGAAACTAAAGATACAGAATTTTATACCTTTAATTTCTATGTAAACCCAAATAATTTTGACCAAGACATATAGGTTATCACAACATTAGAGCATGGCAACTTGAACGTTAAATACGTAATACTAGATACTTCTAACCCTAATATGAGCAAGCCTAGCTCGTGGCAAAAATCTTTTCCTACTCTTTCTGAGGTTGAGTAAAGAAGTCTCATAGATAATAGTGATAATGAAATAAGAGAAAAATAATCATCAATGATTAATATATCTTCTGCAGAGTTTATTTGCAAGCCAAAGTGTGTAGTTCTTATAACAGCATTCGCCAAAAATGTTAAAAAGATAAAATAAAATTCTTAATTAGTGATATAAGTAGTGAGTGATATAATAGATTTAACTCATCTTGAATCATCAGAAATAGCTAGTTTTGTATCTCATAATCAATACAAATACTTTAAAATATATTTACCTTAAGATTTCGCAGTAATAACATTTAATGCTGTTGCTATTTAGAGCATGTTTGATATAAATTTGGTTTCATACTATTCAAAAAATTATTCATCATTTAGACCAACAGAAACGAACTGCAATCAAGTAAAATAAATATTTTATTATTTGTCAATTAAATAGGATTTAAAAATAACTTAAGTTATCAAATAATTAAATTTAAATTAATAAATATTTCAAATTACTTTAAAATATTTTAGTGCTAATCATCCAATTTAGAACCAGGAAGATTTGATCAAATAGAATATATTCCTGCTAAAGGTGGATATTATATTGTAGGTGTCTATGGAAGTGAAGGATATAAAGCTAGGTTTAAATTTATTTGGAATACTAATCAAATTTAATAAGTTTAATTTAGAGAAACTTATTCAGTATAAATTACTTCATAGAAATCTTTTGTGTTTCATGCAGATAGGTACAGAAATTCTGGATTCGATCTTTCCATTTCGGTTTAAGATTAATTCAAAAATGACATCACTAACGATGGAGTTCTTAGTATGGCTATATATCACTGTAATAGTGATTACTTAAGAGGATGTATAGTCGAAAATCCAAATTTAAAAAGAATTGAATCAAAATCTCAAAAATATTAGTACTAAGATATTTGTGGTGATAAAGTAGTTTGCACAGTTGTTTTAACCTTTAAGTCGAATAATGATAGATATATCTCTTTTGATTTCTTATTAAATGAAATACTCTAAGAGTCTTTTGATTTCGATAATTAAAACATTTCTATAATATCTGACTAGACGATTATATACCCAATTATGAAAAATAAGAAATAAAGGTATTTATTTTTTTGTTTCTTAGATAAATAAAAATAGTAATTTTATTTTAATAAATTTAGGTTCTAGATAAGTCTGCCTTATATCGTCAGTGATGATTTTTAACTTTCAAATAATTTTATTTTGAGAGTTCAGTAATATAGTGGATCTGTAGACATCTCTCTTTGGCCAAAGGATTAAAATATTTATGAAATTTAAAATAGTATTTTGAATTTCAAGTGGATTGAAATTAAACCTGAGACACTTAAAAATAAAAATTTTGTTTACTTAGATGTGTTTAACTGCAATTAAGAAAGCTGCTATATTTATATTGCTCTATATGTTGCCAATACACCTAAAGACATTTCTTAATTATAGTCTGTTGCTGAAATTTTAAATTATAATTCCAATATCATTATAACAGGATCTAATATGACCTTTAAGGACTCTCGATTAATCATTTACATACAAGATATTTCTAAAGTAAATTTTGTTGTTTTATTTACTTTAAATATTAATTTAACTATTTTGAATTATTAAAAGTAATTGGAAGATGCTCAAATATTAGTTTCTAAAGAGGATAAAAGCTTACAAACAATTTAAATCTAAAAACATAAATATTATTACGAAATAGATTAGATATACGAACCAAATCTTGATTCTCAAAAGGTATCTAATATTTTCATTAAACTTAATAGAACAGATGATAGAATTGAAAATTTGCAAGTCGCTGTAGCTATTTATTTAATGAAGTATCATGGCTCATAAATACCGCTGTTAGCAACTCCTTAAAATGAAATTGAGTACTATTAAAGCTTCATTCCAAACAGATTTTATGAAAATTAGGAATTTGCAACTCATATCTTAGATGTTCCTAATTAAGCCAAAGAAAAATCCTATCTATTAATAGATTTAACTAGTTGTGATAATGGTGATATACGCTTGAAGGGCTCTTAAAGCTTAGAAAATTTTGAATAAGGAAAATATGATTTAGAAATTAAATAGTAAAGTAAATAAAAATCATAGTTTACAATTTAATTAAAAGATAATCAAAAGATTTATTTAAAATTGAGTCGTCCCTAAAATTAGTTAAATAAGCAGTTAAGATATCTTATCTTGAGCTATATAATTAGTAACTCTAATTCTCCTAGTTTTAAGGTTTAGTCAATAACTGGGCTAGTGGAAATGCAAAGAATATAGAATTAAATATATGTCTATTGGGATATGCTTACAGGTTCTATTCATTTTGATGATACGAATAAAGTCATTAAAAATACGTAATTTTATTTAGTTATACTGAAAAAAAGGGCTTTTGAGCTAGTATAACCAAATATGAACTGTATATTTTCTCAATAATATGCTAAAAATGAAAATAGTGTCCATTTTTATTTGAAACTTAATCAAGATTAGGTCAAAATTGATGAAGAAAAAAAATTATTTTATTATGAGCTTGATGCTAAGAATTTTAAGAATTAATTCTAAAAGTTTGAAGAATAATAAGACTTCTATTCAACAATAAAGGCATAAATAAATCCTAATATATATGGTAATATTGATAAAAATAGTGTATGGTATAATGAAGTAGATTATCAAATTACTAATATCGACAAAAATTTCTTTGTAGATGATATCAGCATGCCTCCATAATCCTCTGATACTGATGAAAGCTTACAACACACAATAAGTAATTAATTTTTTAAAACTTTTTTTTAAATTAATTATTTTTTATAAAAAGTTATTTTAACTATTGTAATTGGCATAAGCATGATTTTGTTAGGAATATATCTTTACCGTCGTTACAACTTGACTAAAAAAAGAATTTAATTTGAGGTATCCTATAGAGAGTAGTAAGATATCCAAGAAAATGTTGAACAATCCAATCCATGATCAAAATTAAGTGCTATAGTTATCATAAATATTAATTTACTATTCTTTATGTATGCAAAGAATAAATTTGACAAAATTTATAGAATTATTTTTCATAATTAATTAGCTTTTAGCATTTTAAAAAGATTTTAAATAAGTTAACCACTTTTTTATATAAATAATTTAAATCATCAATATTTTATTTAATCAAATATCTAAATTTAATTGAAAAATTTACTGTTTTAATTTTCTTTTTACATTAGAATTTATTTTAAGTGTATTTATTATATATAAAGAATAAAAATGTTAGAAATTAATATATATATCAATAGCTAGTTCTTCACCAAAAGTGTAAAAAATAAGATAAAAATTTATTTTTTTAGACTAAAAATAAAATTCTAAAAAATATCTAAAATGTTTTAACAATAGAATGATTTTTAATAGATAAAAATGGCTAAAATTAAGTTGATGTTTTATGGATTATTTATGAAGATAAAATTTGAAATAATATAATAAAGATTGTATATTATGAGATCATCCTAACTATCTAAATTGTAAAAAATTTAAATAGAGTTTTAAATAAATAATTTATCAAAGATGTATTTAAATTATTTTTGATTAATTTCTTTCATAAATATTAAAAACTTTGATAATTTTTACTGTATTTCCCAATAATAAAAAAATAAATTTATATGTGACTAAATTATTTTATACAAAACACATAAATATTATAAAATAAATAGCTTTTTAAAGTCTTTACAAATTAAACAAAATTTTCTAATTTTTAAAATTTTAATTTTAAAGATTAAATAATGTTTTTGAGTAAATTAATTTTAATCTAATCAATCTTCTTCAAAGTCTTCTGTAAATTGCCATCTTAAAAGCTTTCCATTTTTGCAGCCAGTAATAATTTACTTATAGACAGGGCAAAATACTAAAGTAGGCATTTTGTGTAGTAAAGGTGAACTTGAATAGATTTTTTCATAATAAATTTCATTTGATTATAATTTGTTTTTTTATTTAAATATCTTAAGAGAATTATCAGAGCATGAAATAAATACATAATTTTTAAAAAAATCAAATGCTGTTATTATTCCTGAAAACTAAGTTTCAATGCTTGAAAGCATACTTAGTGAATAATTTTGTTAATCTAATGAAAAAAATTGTATCTAAGAATGTTCTCCAGAAATAGCTATAAACCCATAATTTGGATCTATTTACATATTCCAAATAAAAAATCCTAATGGTTGTGAAATATAGCATATTTGCTTTTATTTTATATCAAAAAGGGATATTTGTTAAGTTTCATAAACTGAAAAAGCTATAAATTAGGAATTAAAACAAAATTTAATGTTTTCAACTTAACCCTAGACCACTGCTATAAAATCGCTATTATAAGAGTACTAATTATCATTTGAATTTAATTTAACAGTAATCAACTCAAAATAAGAATGGCCTCCTATAGCTGCTATTAATTCATTTTCTTTTTAATTTTCATCTCCCTAATCTACTTTAGTCTAAACTTCAACAGCTCTCACTTCATATATTGTAGATATCTTCAAAACAGGTTTTTTATCTATGTTTTTACCAGATATTTAATATTCAGTTTTATAGACAAACACCCTACTACTAGCAGTTAAAAAGAGAAACTTTCCACATGGTGAAAAAGCTGAATCAACAAATTTAATTTAGCTATAATTTATTATTTTTTTCAACTATAAATCACTTTAGTAAAAATCCAAGTCATACAAAAGACAATCCCCAGAAGAGTTATTCCATCCTCCACAAGTTACAGAAAGCTACTTTTAATTAGGTGATAATTTTAATCTATAAACTTTATTTTTGGACTTAAGTTAAATGCTGTTCAGCAGCTTGACATATTTACATTCTAAATTTTTATTTTAAAATAATCAATAAATATAAAATATAATAAAAAATATTTACTATAATCATCTAAATTTTCGTTTGAAATCTTTAAATCGTCTATTTCTGCTATACTTCCTGTGGAGCTCAAAGGTATAATATTACTATCCTGCTTAGTTTTTGAATTAAAAATATAATTGCTATCTTCATTCATAATGACATCTGATTTTTCTTCTATTTAGTTTGTAACTTCAGTTTCAGGTTATATTTATTTGAGAGAAATGGATTCTAAAGTCTTTTGGTTTGCTGAATATAAATTAAGTAAATTTTCTTATTTAACATTTATGACTTAAAAATCATCAACAATGTCTACAACTTCTTATTCGTTTTATAAAACTTTTGATTCAAATTTATAAATTTCATCTTGAGGAAATTTTTTTTTCTTGTTCTTTTTTTTTAATTTTTTATCAACAAAATCTTAGATAATTTTTTTGAGCTTTTTAAATAAATTTTCTATCTCGGAATCGGAGTAAGTTTCTTAGTAACTAGTGATACTTTCAAATATAACCTGACAATTAACTAAATCATTTGTGAATTATTATATTTCATCAGCTAAACTATTTATAGTTGTCATTTCTAAATCTAAAATTTGTTAACTATCTAATTGATTTTCTTAAATTTATATAATTTTTTACTCCATTTTTATTGTGAAGTCTTCTATTATTTTCCTAAACTTAATTTAAGAAGCATTATATCCTACTAATTCATCAAAATTTTATATGTTTAATTTATCTTATTTTGATTTTAACCCTTTCTATGATTACTCTATCAAAAAATAGTAAAAGTCTCTACCTAAATGTTCAAATTTAAACTTATTCAAGATGGCCATTTATCTAAATAAGTATTCATCCTCTTTCAAAAATTATGCTCTTATTGAATCATATGTTTAGCTAAATTTTAGCTCTTATAAATCTGACATGATCAAGACATCTTCTTTATGTAACTCTAGACAATTTATTGTTTCTTTATATTCTTATGTGCAAGTAGAGCATACTATTTTTTTTGATTTACACTCTCTATTTAAACATAGGAAGTCAGCCTATTAGTTATGAGTCAAGCAAAAAACAGCTTTCATTTATTTTTTATGATAATTATTATCTTTATTTTTGCAATACAAATTTTTTAATATTATTTATAATTTTTCTCCATAATTAACAAATTTAAACTTAATAATGATTATGAATACCCTCTTATAATTCCCTAAAAACAAAAAAATAATATTTTTAATACTTATTTGGGCTATTTTTAATTTTTCTTATTTATTTTTAAAAATTTTATCAATTTCATATTTAAAATTTAGCATATAAATATTAAAGATATTTATTTAAATTTTGCATATAGTTATATCTTAAATCAAAATAAAAAAAATATTAATTATTTGGTTGGATATTCTATTTTTTTAAAGTAACAACTTGTCAATTGCAATTTTTCTTAGTTATTTTCAAATTTTTATTCGCAAAATCATAAAAGTATATTTTTTAATTTAAAGTTAGATATATATATTTTAAAAATATTTAGACATTAAAAAATTGGCATAAAAAATAGAAATGAGCGGCTATAACAACTACAATTTTCCAAATCAAAGACCTATGGATAACTATTAGCTATAATTTAATAAAGAAATAAGCACTAAACTTAAGGCCAAGGGAGATTGCATAGCATAAGCATTTTTTATTGGGTAAATAGTAGGTGGTATTAATTTTTCTAGTGATGAAGGATTGTTTTGCGAATTAGTGCTAGATGTAGGCCCATAGTGGAATATGATTAGAGGTGCTTAATAAAGAAATGAAAATTCATAAAACGATTTTAAAAGTATATAAACATAAACTGCATATGCAGAAGTAAAATATTTCAACTATTTCAATCATTTGAAATACAAAAATCATTTAATGTAATTATTTATTTTAAAAATGACAGGAAAATTAAATGTTTATATGGAGTCACCCTTTAGATTTAGAATTTAAAGTAGGCAGTATTAATGGATGGTAAATATTTTATATAATTAGCACCACATTTTCAATCTAAATTTTTTATACTTAGGCCCAAAGGTATTCTAAAGATTTGGAGACTTGATGATACAAATAAAATAGATATCAGTAACTTTTTAATTTAAAATTTTAAATAGCAATTTTATTGCGAAAGTTATAATTCAAAAAACTAAACTAAAAAAAAACTTAGTCTCTTACGGTGTTGTAAATTTCCCAAGGCAAGATGGTTTTCATAGATTAGAAGTTGATACTTGGTCTCCTATTGGTGATTGGTCTTATTAAAATTTCTAATTCTATTTAGGAACTTAGCCAAGACTTGCAAATTTAGATTTAACAAAATACAGTGATAAGCGCCATGAAATGCTAGGAGTTTCAAATGGAAAAGTTATATTCGAATTAGAAGTAAAATAATTTTTTAAGATAAAAAACTAAAAAATAATTAATTTGATAGGTTATGCTAAGAAACTTCTAAGTTGTGGATGTTACAGGCTAAGAAAACTCTTTAAAAAATCCAAATTTTTGAGAAAATTTATAGAATAAATTTATATTAAAACTAATTAATTTTAAAGTATTATAATGAAAGAAAATTAATTTAAAATCTATCAATTTAAATTTGTGTTTATATATTATTAAATACATTTTGCATTTCAAATATCCTCAAATGTTTATTTAATAATAATTATTACTTTCTTAGCATTATGATTTCTTAAAAAATTTCAAATAATGTTTCTAGAAATATAATTATTTTAATTACATTTATATTTACTTTAAATGATATTAATTTTTTAATTGAGCAAAATTAAATGTTTTATTCAAATTAAAATTGAGATTATAATTTTTTTCTCACATCATATATTTTTTTAAATGTTTACAAAATGCTTAAATAAAGAAATTTAATTATTTTATTTTTGTTTTAAATCATTTTAATTGTTTTATTTAACTATGTTAAATAGAACACTCTAATTATTATTTTATATTATATTACATTCTTAATATTCTTAACTCTTAAAATTTTAAAAAATAACTTGAATAAAGAAAATTAAGTAATATTTATTTTTATTTTAAATATTTTTGATTGTTTTTGTTTCATAATTTTAATATTTCATTCATATTACTATTTTAAATTCAATTTATTTTTATTTTGGAAACAATCTGAACAGTTTAAAATTTAAGAAAAAATGGATCAAATTAAAAAACTTAATAATAATTAAATATATTTTAATTCATTTATTTGTTTGCAAAAGTATTTATTTTTATTTTTTCTTTTTATTTAAAGTATTTATTCTAATAATTATTTAAAAATAATTTTTTAAATTTCTCAAATATAATTTTAATCAGTTAATATATATGATTTTTTTTAATTTTATTAATGATTACCACAAATATAACATGAAAAAAATATTTTTGAAATCGAAAAAATTTTAAATTAGTTATGAATGAATTTATAACTTTAGAACATTTGATAGGAGAAGAATTTATTATTTAGAAAAAACATAATTTCTGAGGATATCTAACTAGTGTATAATATTTCTAATGAAAAAGAATTATTATTAATAACTAAAAGAGTCATAAGCTTTATCTTCTAGAAGGTATTCTGAAAAAATTTGCTATTAATTTAAGATATTTTAAACGAATTAAATTTATCAATATTTATGAATGCCTACAATTAATTAATAAATTAACAAAGCATCTTTCTAAAATAACAAATTTTAATAAAATTTATTATATATTAGGTTAAAAAAAATACACACTCAAAACTAAATAGTCAATAGCTATATAGATTGATAGATACATAAGCAAGCATACATATAAAATGGAAAGAGCTGATAGAAGATATAAATTTGAACACAATTGGGCTAAAGGATTTTGTTACTTTACTTTTGGAGAGTATTATAATCCCAGAAAAATGGGAGTAGGTAGAATTAAAGCTGTCAATGAATATTAATTGAATCCATAAGAAGAATTTGGAAAAAATATTTTGCACAAAAACTTTGATATTGTTACTCTTGTTATGAATGGTAGTCTTAGACATAATTCTTCAGTAAAAGAAAGAGTACCAATCGAAAGAGGTCAATGTCATCTTTTAAGAACCGGACCTAATGAAATAAAGCATGGAATATAAAATGTTGATTAAAATATACAAGGAGAAATATTTGAATTTTGGATCTAAAATGATTAAGTTTTCTAAAAAGAGGAAGGTGAATAAGCTACCTACTAGTTTGATGTTGTTAGAAAGTAGCTAAATACATTATAAACTGTTATTTAAAATGATAATATTGAATTGAGCATTTGTCATCTTGATAAAAACAACACTATTACAATTTAGAATGAATCTTTGAAAAATATATTTATTTTAAATTTAAATGGCCCTGCTATCATTAATGAAACTGTTAAACTCAATGATCGTGATGCCTTTACTGAAGTCTGTGCTTCCTATAATTTAAAATCTACAGAAAGCTGCATAACTTTATTAATATTAAAAGCAATTTGATCTAAAATAATAAAAATCAAGCATGCTTAATTAATTAATTATAAATTTTTAAATCAGCATTGTTTTTTTATCTTTTTTAATTTTGGTAGAATAATTAGTATTTTTATCTCAGATTTCCTTAACATTCAAAAGAATATTGATTGATAGTTTTCTTATTTTTAATTCACTTAAAAACAAATTGTTAAAATTATATTTCAAGAATAGCAAAAAAATTTTTACTTTTTAAAGAAAAAATAATTTTAAATTAAATTCTACTTTATTTGAAGTTTCTATAAATATAAATAATGAATTTATATATTTTTAATATTTGATGATAATTATGTATTTGTTGATGTAAATGACACATTTCAGCATATACTTTAAATTAATAAAAGAAATTTAAAAAAATAAAGAAATTAAATTACTCAATGCCATAACAATTTATTAATATCATTCATATTTATATGATTTAATAAATTAAATTATGATGCATCGCTTTGAATATAAATGCAATTCAGAATCTTCATTACTTCAAACTCCACCAATAAAAATAAGATTGTTTGTTAACAAAAGAAAAGTTTTAGCATAATTGCAGTTCTTTTAATTATCAAAACAATATATATATAGTAATAATAAAAGAAGTGACATTATTTGATTACTCAAGTAAAAGTAATTATGAAGTAAATTTTTTTGCTTTTTCTTATATTAGCTGTAACTTCAGCATACAACAAACTGGAACTACCATATTAAGCTCATAGTATGAATGATCTAGACCTCACTTTATAAGAACTTATAAAAGGTATACTCTAAGTTCTATTGCTAACTTAAGCTTTATTTTTTTATACTATTATTGACTTACTTTTAAATGAGTAAAGGTGTAAATAATTTCAAATTTGATGTGTCTGTAGCTACATAAGAAAGCTGCGAAAATCACTCTACTTGGAATAAAAACTATTAGTAATGCGGTTATTATGGAGGATTTGGCATGAAAGTATATACAAAATTTAAATTATTTAATTTTTGAGTGGACATAAATTCAATATTTATCAATATTTATTAGACTTGCTGTTTAGCATTAAGAGGTGACTGTAGTTAACAACCTGTCTTTAACTATAGCTTTAACACTACTACTGACATGGTATCTATGATATCAAATCCTAAATACGCCTTTATTTTTAGTAAAAATACAACAACAAAAAAGTATCAATAAACAAAGTACTTTGCTTTTAACTTTTAATACAGCTACGACTAAGATTAAATGACTATAGATTTCATCTATGGTTTCTTAAAAGCTATACAAGACTATGATCTCAATTTGAGAATGGTAAAATTATTTACAATTTGTAAATTTTATCAAGTTAAAATTTATGTAAAGGTAACTGGGTCAGGTTGGTTAATCAATTACTTTGATAATAAATGTATCGTCTAACAAAACTGTACTGAAAAAGAACAATTTATTTCTTAATCAGATATAATATTGTAAAGTCCTTATAGCGGGCCAAGAGAAAGAACTATTTAGTTTAACCAAGAAACTACTGTCTTGCCTGAAGTATGCTCCTCAGGTTTCCCAAGTTATATGAAAAATAACTCTATTCCTTTCTAATTCTGGGAACCTTCTTATTAAGACTCAATTTATGACGTTTATGACTAATTCTGGAGTCAGAGATGCCTTAAATTAGGAATTAAAGATCCAGGTAGTTTGATATTAATTAATTAATTAATTTTTGAAATAAGTTTTAAATGACATCATTAATTTCACCAATTTATCATTTATAATAAATATATAATCAATGAAATACTCAATTATTTATTTTAATTAACATTAAATTATTTCTTATTTAGTATAAAGATTCAAGATAACATCTAATTTAAACAGTGAAAATTATGCTACTTTCTTACAAAGAACTAATACTACTTCTGATTCTACATACGTTCCTCCTAAATATCGTTTCTAAAATTAAAGTAGTAGTTTAATAGAATACAATAATTAACATGGAATAACATTTTTGAGTAAAAAAAATGAAATTACAAATATTTATGAAATTAGCATTTACGATAATGTTTCTTTTGACAAAAGTATCGACTCAATATAATTTGACTAAGCTATAACTAAATTATCTTCAAAGGGATCATATTTACAAGTTGAAACAGATTAATAAATAAGCGTTTATAATATATAATAAAATAAATAATTAAAACTAGTTAAGACCATTTCAAAACTAGAAAGCACCTATATCTGTAGTGACATTTTATTAATTAATGAAAAGGATCCTTATGTTTCAATTTCTTACCTTACCTCAAGTTCATTACTTAAAGTGAAAATCGTTAGTGTTGATAACGGTTAGACTCTTTTAGAAATTGAGTAATAAGTGAATAATGTTTAACCATAAGGTTTTAATTATGTCTCAAGTATTTTCTATGAAGGAAAAGTAATATAAATCTACACTTATGAATCAGTTAATCCATCAAATAATGTAAATGAGATATCATTTTTCTACCATACTATTGAATTGAAATCTCAAAAATCTGTAATTTTACAACCTTAATCTCCTTAAAATTTTGGTTCTAACTCATCCTTAAAGATTGAAAATTACAATGGAAATTTATACTTCATTTAGGTAACTTAATTTATTTTTAATTGAATTTATTAATAATTGATTTTTGTGAAAAAGGTAAGCGCTAACGGCTCAGCTTGGAGTGGAGTTTTTATAAACAATGGTGACTGGGCAAAATGTGATCTATATAAACTAGATAAATTTGTTAACTTAAGAAATATTCCTCACACAATTACATACATGTGGGGTAGAGTTGAGGATCTAGTAGAAAGAATACAATCATCAACATTTATAAATAGCTGTGATAAAAAAATTATTTCATCAAAGATATATAACGGTGGAAATCCATAAATTACAGTGAGAAGGGATTCATAAAATAAGCCAACTGCTTATGTCAGTTTGGATTATACTCGCTATGATGAATTACCTCTCCTTACTACTCTATTTTTAGGATCAAATAGTTATGAACCTGAATTTGCAGATGATGTAGATCTAAAAATGATAGAAGTGATTTCTTTTGACTTATTAGAATATGAAATATTTAATATAGCCTATTGAAAAAACTAATCTCTATTTTTTTGACATAAGTTTATTAAATAATAATTAAAATATTAAAAGAATTTATAAAATTATATCAATTAAAAAATTTATTTTTTATAAAAAATATGTTGACCATTTTTATTAAATATATCAAAAAAGTTTAATTCTAAATTAAAATCATTTGAATTAATATAGTAATACTTAAAAGGCTTTAATAAAATTTATACCTTAAAAAATCTCAAATAAATTATTATTCTATTTAATTAAAATTGTTAAATAAAATATAGATAGTTTTTATAATTCTTTGTGAACATTTTTAGAGATTAAAAAAAATTTTATTTTTGATTTTAGTCAAATTTTAAACTTTAAATAATTATTTTTTTGATAAATTTGTTGGCACTAATTTGTCTAAAAATTTAAAAAATTTAAGTGATTATATTAAGTTTTGTTATAATATTTTATATTTATAAAAAAATTATGCAAGTTAAAAAGGTTTTATAGTTTTGATAATTATATTAAATCTGAAAAAATAATAATAAAATAGTCTGTCTTGCTTAATTGTTTATATGATAATAAAAATTTTAAAGATTGATATATTTTATTACAAATTTAGCATATTTATATAATATTTAAAACAAATAATACTATATTTATTCACTTTAATTCACTATAATTAAATATAATTTTTAAAAATCTACTTTAACTATTTGTATGATTTATAGCTGACAACATTTTAAATTAAATCATCCAAACATTTTAGAATATTGGCTTTTTTTAATAATTTTTGATAATTTTTCAATTTTTATGTTAATTCAAAAAGTTTCATCTGTCCTTCTTTTCCTCTCAATTATGTAAGAAACTTCTACTTAAACTTCTTGATTATTTTAAGGCTCAAAGGTAAGCGTTTGGACTTTAGCATTTCTAGGACTTGGTTAGTATTCATAATTACGTCTTTAGAAATCCAAAAGCTAAATCTCCTTAACTGATACAATTTTATAGTTTAATTCATCTAAAACAATATTTGCTTGTTTTTAAGCATTCTTTACAGCTTCTGCAAGCAATTTTTCTCTTAAATTAACAATATTTTGATCTAAAGCTTCATAACGAACGTAATCAATATTAGTTACACCGTTCTAGATAGTGGCATCTATAATCTTGCCTGCTAATTATAGTTTTTAAGTAGAAATGATCAAGCTGTTTCTTACTTTATATCCTTCTAATTCTTAACTATACGTTTAAGTAGAATTATTAAAGATTTATAGATAGCTTGGGTAAATTTGTATTCCAGCAGTAGAAAATTCACTTTCATTAAGTCCAAGCTATTTCAAAGAGTTTATTGAATTATTTAATATTTCTGAGTTTTTATTTAATGAGTCTGAAGCTATTGATTATAAAGTTTCTATCGAAAGCCCAATAACAACTTATTCAGATCTTAACGTACCTACTGCTTTACCTACTACTTTAAATGGTTCAGGTAAAAGGCGGAGTTTAATTTATTCAGAACTTTCATCGCAATTATAATCACTGCGTAAGTTAGATTTTGTTAGTAGCAAAAAATTTAAAAAAATGAACAGGATGAGAATTTGTTTCATTTATTTCTTTACTTTATTATTTCTGATTATTATTATTTTTCTAAAGATTTATTGATTTATAAAATGCTAGAAATTTTGATCATAATTTAAAAATATCTTTTTATAATTTATTAATATAATTCTAATATTTAAATCAGATGAAGATCAGATTAATTATATAAAATACATAATATGACTTATTATCAGAAATATTATAATTATAAAATTTACATAAAAACTCTATATCATCACTTCATTTTTTTTGTTCTAAGTTTATTCTATATAATGTAGTTAGCAAGCATAGAAATATATTATTTTATTTTAATTTATACTAACTTACTATAGATTTGATGTAATAATACACTAAAAAGTATTTTTATTTTTAAAATAAACTATTTCAATCGTCATCCTATTCTAATTTCTTGATGATAAAGAAGACTTCAACTTACACTTCTTATTTATTAACTGAGCTGAATACCTTAGTTTCAGCATAACTATCTGGTTAAGGAGAAGGCATAGGTCTAGGCTGAGGGTGAAAAGGTGGTTGGTATTGGTGGTAGTCAACTATCTAGATGTTTTTTATTGAAACTATCTCATATTGTAACTCATCTAGAACAATTTTTGCTTATTTTCTAGCATTTCTCACTGCTTCTGCAAGTAGTTTTTCTCTCAATTTAGTAATGTTATGACTTAATGGGTTGTATTCTATATAGTCAATATTAGTTACTCCATTTTAAACAGCATTGTCAATAATCTTGCCAGCAAGATTTATTTATTTTGTGTTTATTGTAATACTGTTTCTAACTTTATAGCCTTCAAACACTGAATGATATTATTATGTATCTTTATTGTACTCAGATCTATAGCTTGGATAGACAGATAGACCATTAGTAGAAAACTCATTATCAGAAAGACCAAGAGTTTTAAAAGCTGTGATTGCATTATTAATTATTTAAGAATTTCTATTTAAAGACTCTGCTGCTTCCTTATCTAATGTTTCTACAGTGAGTCCAATTGAAACCTGCTCAGATTGTAATATTCCGGTTGCTTTACCAGTAACTCTAAAAGGTTCAGGTAAATAATGTAACTAAATAGCGTCAGACTGATGACACTTCTAGTTACCTAGTGAAAGTCCACTCAAAAAAAGAATATACAAAGTAATAAAGAAAAAAGATCTCATTTTTGTATTTTTTTTGATTAATCTTTGGTTTTTGAATTAATTATATCTAAGCTAAATAACAATTTGATTTCTAATTCAAATAAAGTCTAAAAAACGATAAACAGTATCTTCATAATCAAAAAATTTTTTTATTTTCAATTAAAAATAATAATTTGATAATTTTTAACCAATAAAATAACTTAGCTTTTAATAAAATAATATAATATTATATGAGGATACCGATGCTCATATTCTATTATCTGTTTTAAGTATTATTTATTGTTAATATATAATATAAAAATAAAGGCAAATGATTGAAGAATAAATAGATAATTTTAGACAAGATTTTTTTTTTTGATATAGTAATTTAAAAAAAATAATGACTACTAAATGTTTTAATTATTTAAATTATTTTAAAATAAATATCTTTTATAAATTATAGAGCTTCATTTTTATCCTCTTCTACCTCTTGCACCTCTAGAAGCTGCTCTTGGTTTTTTTTATGCTTTTTGCTACTACCTTGCTAATCTTCTTTATTACAATCTTTCTTATTGCTATTTAAATTCTTTTATAATGAATATATTAAAATTGAAATTAAATAATGTTGTTAGTGAAACTATTTACTTTCTACGCATTCACATTCTCTATATTTACCACCACATTTATAGCAAAATTCATATTTACATCTGCAGGTCATATGGTCACAACCCTATTCATAGTTAGACATAATTATTTTAAATTTTATAAAAAATTGACTAGTTTATTTACTTAATTCTTCTCAACCCAAAATTTGCATTTTATACACTGTTTAAATTTCTTGCCTTTAACAAATTTTTCGAATTTAGCATCATTTTCATCTTTTTTGTTGGTAATTTCATATTCTTTGCAACTCATCCCTTTATGAAAGACAACACGACATTTTAGACAATATTCTTTTTTACACATAAGACACTTGAAAAAACCATCATCTTCATTTTCATCATAGGCAAACACATATTTACAATCAGGTGTAGGACACCAAGACATCTATGAAAAAATATATCTAACTTTTATTTTAAATGTGTTAAAGATTTTTACTTCATCACCGTGTTCATCTACATAAGATTACAAAGAGTATTATATATAATTTTCATAAACCTCTTTTCCTAATAATTGTTTGAAATCATCAACCAAGATTTCTGTTTTACACTTTTCATCAGGACAGAGTATCTGAGCTTTTCTATCTTAAATCTTATGGAAAAAAATTCAATGTATATATTAAAATTGAAAAGAAGCTCATAATAACAAAAAAGAAATTACTTTATTTTTTAAATATTCAATTAAACATTCCTTATGAAAAACATGATCACAATTTTCTAGAGCTAAAACACTTTCAGTATATAGTTCGCACATACAAATAGGACATTCGATATCGTCATCTTCATTATTTTTCATATTTTAATCCTATTCCTCTTCTTACTAAAGCTAGCGAATTAATTCTAAAGTTTTTTGTTCATCCTCATCGTAATTTTAAAATTACTTCATATATTATTGGACATCAAAATCGCTATTTTAATCATCAACTTCATTATCATAGTCAGTACGGCTATTGCTTTCTTTTTAAGATTTATTTGGATCATTTTTGCTTTTTTAACAAAATTTAAAGTAAAATTGATAGACAAAACGTATATTATAAATTATTTACTTAATTCCATTTGAATCATTACAATCAGACTATCTCTAATCTGGCTTGCTTTTTTTCCCTTAACCTTAAAGGTAAAAATTACCTTTGCTAGATTTGTTTCCTTTTTATTGATCTTAATTATCCTATTCATCGGTATGCTAATTTAAATTGATATCATTCAAAGGTGGAGTGGCATCTATATATTCTTCATTATTTTTACTATTTTCTAATTTTTTATCAGATTTTTATCTTCTATCATTCATTTGTTAATCTTCTTCATATTCTAAATTATTATTTTAGCATACTTATTTAATCATTTCTATATGCTATTAAATATTTTCTGTATCTGAATCTAACCCACATATGAAACCTATAACAAACGCTTAAAAACAGTTGATACCTGATTTTGTCATAGTATCACTGAACTCCTATAAATTGCTAACCATAGATTAAATCATATTTTTATTACTCATTTTCCTATATTTTTTTCTCAAACAAACTTGTAGTAGATGCAAGCAATAATACTTTAATTTTTAACAATTTGCAATTTAATTTTTTTTGCTTAATATTATGAATAAATACAAATGACCAGAATTTAATATCAAAATATCTTTTAATACTCGTTAAATGTAACAAGTAGTTATCAAACTAATTACTAAAATAATTAATTAATTATTTTATTTTATCAAAGTAATGTTATCTCTAAATTAAAAAAAAGCTATTTAAATTAATTTTAAATAATCTTTAAATAAATTAAAATAATTAATAATTATTTTACCTTTTGAATGTGTCCTTAAAATAAAATAAATAAATAACTAAATAATATTTTCGCGGTTTGAAGATTAGATAGATTGTATAAGAAAATATTGTCCATTTAATTTGAGTTTCTAAATTATTATTTTTAACTTTTTTTTGTTTTATGGCTGATTTGAATTATTCTCATTATTTCCTATCCTTTATATTAATTTTATTAAAATTGTTTAATTGATAAAATAATTTTTAAGTTAATTAATTTAATTTAAAATACTTTTTTTATTTACCTTATTTAAATTAAAATACTTTTTTTATTAAATTCATTTAATTAAAAACTTTTTTATGAATCAAGTAAATTAATACTAATTAATTATCTCAGTTTTTTAAAAAATGAAATAAATTTAAATTCCTTTACTAACTTATTTTACTTAAAAATTTGTCAAATTTAAAATAAAAAGAACAATTTATAAATAATTTTAATATAGTAAATAATTAATTTAAAAGTTTTAATTTTATTCAAAATATTAGAAAAAATTAATTGAAAAAAAGTATTATAAAATTATTCCAAAATAAACAAATCTTTAAAAAGATCCATAAATAGGATAATTTTAAGTAATTACTTTAAAATTTATATTCACAACTATTTCAAGCAATAAATTATCTATCAAATATTGTAAATTATCTTTCATATTCTACCAAAATATTTAAATCTATTTTATGTAAAAAATATAATTTATTTAAAAATATTAAATGTAATTAATTAGCCTTTTTTTACAAAAGAATCCAAGCTTTTTTAATTTTCAGCAGGTACCATTCAAAAGCAATTTTTTATATTTTAGCCATTTTAAAAGTAAGTTAAATAAAAACCAATTAAAAAAAATGAATATTGATAGAATAGTGATAATTATCCAATTAAAGTTAAAATATCTAAAAGATTTTCCTATCTAACTATTTATTTTTTAGTAAATTTATAGAATTGATCGATTGTAAAAATTAAAGTTTCCCCTTTTTTGATAAATTGAATAACTTTTGGTTGATATCGATTATTTAAATAAAAAATTAATGTTGCTATTTTAGATTGAATTACGTCTTAATTTATGAATATAAAAAATAGATACCATCATTACACTTATAATTTATGATGACAAAATATTAATTATATTTGATTTAAAAGTCTAATTTTTTAGTTTTTCAATCATCATAATTTATATTTCCAACCAAACAAAAGATAAAATCTAAAGTATATTTATATTACTAAAAGAGAGGAAGGTATAAATAAGAAACAAGCTACTCTTCTATAAAATCCCTTAAAAACCCTATTTATTTATTAAACTTATCTAATCAATCAATAAAAGATACTGCTTGGCTTTAGTTTATAAGCAACACCAGACAAAGTAATTTATTTTGTTAACATCATTGAAAAGTATAAAACAATATTTTTTTCCTTAGTAACTTAAAAAATAGACATTAAAGCAACTTTAAAAAGCAAAAAAATATTATAAACATATATAAAACAATGAACGGTAAAAGAAAATAAGGAGCTCAAGTAGCATAAATAAATGCAACTTAGCGTGATAAGAAAAAAAAAATAGAATAGTAAATTGAAGAAAGCACTAATAATTCTTAAGCTAACTCTTTCAACGATGAAGAAGAGGAGGAAGATGGTTTATCAAACGATAATCAATAATAGCAGTAGGGAAATGGAAAAGGTAATATAATATTTCCTTTTTTCAAAATGCTTAAATTTATATTTTCCTTACTTAAGTATCTACAATGTATTATTAACTCAATTAAATTTATAGAAAAGGTAAAGAGTCGTCAAGATAATTCGTTAAGCGTACTTACCAAAAGATTTGTTCAGCTCATATAGAATTCGCCAAATTAAACAATTGATTTAAATGAAACAGTTTCTAGTTTAAAAGTTTAAAAGCGTCGTATTTATGATATAACTAACGTACTCGAAGGTATTTACCATTTTTATTTAGTTTGAATTTATAAAATCTCAAATCATTAAATCACTGAAGGAAACAAACGATCGGCTACTTTCTTAAATTTATATAATTAAGAAGTATTCAAAATAATACAATTTTAAAAAAAAGTAACAAGATATTATTAAAAGAATTTTAAAAAGCATTAAATACTATTTTTGCTTGATCTTTCTGTTAAAATGTTAATTCCCTTCAAAAAGATATTTTACGATATTTGATCCAAAATTTAAAGGATTATTTTAAAAGTTTAATTTAATTGAAATCCACTACCTTACACAAAAAGATATAGAAATAATTAATTTGATTATCTGTATGAATAAAAATGATTAAAACTTTCAATATACTTTAATTCAATTGCTTATTTTAATATGATATTGAGATCACTTCTCAAAAAGATTTAGAATTTATTTCAAAAATAACAAAAAAACAACCAAATATTGTAAAATTTAATTTATTTTGCGGGAAAAAAACAGATAATTTAATTAATTTAAAATTTCTTTTTGGAGGGTAAATATTATTAGAATTTATCAATAATTTATTTGATAGAATTTAAAATTAACAAAAATATTTAAAACTAAAAAATTATTAATTAATATGTGATTTAATTTTATTCATATTCAGTTTATTTACCATTATTAGTGAAATTTTATCTTTTAATTGTAAAATAATATTTTAAATAAAGGTATTGGATATATTGAAAAGATTCACAAAAATAAAATTAAGTGGGTTGGAGGAACAGAAGATCCTGAACTCCAAACCGAAATTCAAAAAATGTAGGAAGAATTAGCTCATCTTGAAAAACAAGAATAATAAATGGATTCTTGGATAAAATATTTGCATGATTAACTAAAAAATACATTTAATAATAACGAAGAAGAGTCTAAATATGCTTATTTGACATAAGAAGATTTTAAAAAGTTATATAAATAATGTATGAATGATTCAGGCGAAACTATGTTTATTATTACTGCACCAAAAGGAACTACAGTAGAAGCACCAATCCTAGAGTCAGAAATACAATATGAATACCCATACCAACTCTTCTTAAATAGTTAAAAATTAGGAGAATTGGAAGTTTTCTTATGCTCAGATGAAAATGACCAATAAGAAGTTAAACCTACAAAGTAATCTTAAAAGAAGATGAGAATCCCAGGTGAAGATGAAATGGAGGAAGAAAATAACAATATTTTTAATCAAGCCATTCAATAATAATCAAAAATTAAAGCAAATAATAAAAACAAAAAAGGAAACAACTAAAATATTTCTGATATGATTGAGTGAGAAAAAATAAAAAATGAGTGAAAATCAATAATAAATGTAATACCTAAACAAATAATTTGTTTGCAATAATTAAAAAACAAAGCAAACTATTCTAAAATGAATTATAAATAAATAAATATATTAGTAAAATAACTCTAAAATAAATTATTTTAAAGCAATAAATACTACTTATTATCAACTAAAATAACTTCCAAATCTAATAGATTAAGTAACCTTATAATCTTTATATGTTAATTATTGTATATGAATTAACTTCATATCCATATTTAAAATTTTAGAACACTAATAATCATTTTAATTTCTTTTTTATTAAATCATTTTTTAATCTCATTTAATAATATGATTAAATTATAAGCTGAAAAAAATATTTTTATTATTCAAACAATTAAATTTTTTTGTTTTTTTCATGAAAAATAATAAAACTATAAAATATTTTTATTAAATTTGTATTGTTTTTTATTATAAAATGAGGAAAAGTTTTTATAAATTAATTAGCAAAATAGTATTATGAATTCATGAAAGATTATAAAAAATAATTAAAATAGCTTTGTAAATTTATCATTTTATTGAAGTAATTAAACATCAAATAAGATTTTGAAAAAAAATAATATAAGTTTTAATAAATTAATATTGTTAAATTCAACATTTCTATGTGAATATTCAAATAATAATAATTGATGATAAATATGGTTTACTTTATAAATAATTTAGAGTTATAAATTGGTTTTACATGTATTTTTCTATATTTAAATTAAGTTAAAGTTTAATATTATATTAGTGTATTTGTTTATATATAAATATCGCTTATCTATTAGATTTTCTTTAAGAGTTTTTATATTTATTTAATTTTTATTAAAATCTATTAAAATTATTTCTTTTTTAAAAAATATTAACAATAAGATTAAAAATAAATTTTGGTTAGTATTTTCTGTGAATTTATTAAATGATTAAAAATAAGTATTTTCAATTCATACAATCACAACATTTTCAAATACATTTGTTGTAATCTCTTCAGATATTTAGGGTTAGGCTGTGATTTGAATCCCGTTTTGTTAATTATCTATTCCATTCTAAAATTCTAACTTTTCTATTGATACAATTCTACTTTAAGAAGCTATATCTATGCTTTGATTAAAATTAGATTTTCTTAAGTATGAGTTATTCATTTAGAGGATTGTCTTATTGAAGAACTCGGATTTAGTTCTGAGAGACTCTACATTTTCATATATTTTATCAGATTCTAAATAGCCACAAACTATTTACAAGGTTGTGCAGTAGTACCCAATTTTACTTTATTAAGTGCTCTTTGATAGAAAAGATGAAATTAACTTTAAGTGAGAATTTATTTAAGTGCATTTGCTTTTAAGAACTATGAAGACAAGGATATTTATTAAGTCATCACTTGCTATCAAATTCTACTCCAGATAGTCTATATTTTTTTCGTAAAACTCAGAAACACATTAAGGTATCAGCTCAAAGCACTAGACTAATAATTTCATTTTATGAACGGGGCTATTATAGAAAGTTAAATTTTGAAGCTTTTTGATTGCTTTATAGTATGGGCAATTTTAATCTAAACTATTTTTGCGTTGTATTTTCAAGTAGTTTGTCTAATGTCTAAAAGCATTATTGCTGTTATATTGTGTTAAGCGAATATCTTAGCTTGATGAGCTTTATTTTGAATTTTTAGAAGAGTTAGATTTACTTGAGTTTTTGTTAGAAATTTAATTTTTATTTTAACCATTAGGTGAATAACAACAATTCTGAGATTTAGGTGATGAAACATTCATAACATGGGATTTTGTTTATTGCTTGTTATTATATATAAATGAAGAAGAATCCCTTTCTTCTAGTTGAGATATCTTAGGAATGCATGTTTCTTCTAGAATTTCATCTTTTCCGTCCTAATCTTACATGCTAACTCTATATGGGTCTGAATCTCTTTGATTATATTTGCACTTAGACTAAGAAAGAATTCTCTTCTCTCTTCCTAAAACTTATTCAGTTGTTTGATAGCTATTTGAATTTTAATTACTCGATGCTTAAGTTGTGCTTTCTTAATTGGTTTTTGGTGAGACACTTTATTTATCACTACTTTTATTCTTACACATGCTATTTTAGTTTTCTTTATTTTGAGCATGCTTTGAAACTTAAGATTTTTCGTTGTTGTCGTATTTGGGTTAACTTATGCATGAAGAACTCTTTGAGTTTTAATTCATTAGAAATATCTCACTTTCTTCTTCCAACATTTCAAGTTACTTTTTTGGTTGATTTTAAGCAATATGCTATTAGCTTAATCTGATGTTGTTAGTATAGTTACTTGGCTAGTTTTTTGCAGACAGACGTATGCTATTAGGAGATTCACTTTGTTTATTTAATTAATTTGTTTAATTATTATTTTTATGGATATGATTAATGGTTTAGCCATTAGCTGAAGCTTAATTTTATTGTGGGCTTAACTAACCTTGAGGTTAATTTTAATTCTTTTACTGTTGATTTTGCACTTATTATTTTGCCCATTCTATAGTTTTATTGTTTAAGCAAAATTTAGGATGAATTTCTAAGTGGTGAGGGAGGACTTTATCTAAATTTATCATTTTTGATTATAGATTTTTCTCTTTTTCAATTAGTGATGCTTATGTGAGCTCAAAGCAAACATTATATATTTCATCATCAGCAAAAAAGATATTGACAAGAAAATTCCATAAGTTTTCTTTGTTAACAAGTTAAGAATATTTCTTCTAAGGTAGAATGTTATCTAGATCATAAAAAAAGATAACACAATATAGAAAAAAGTGTATAAACTATAAAATGTCTTTGAGCATTTCGTCTATCAAATCTTCTTACACTTCCATCTTTCCTTAATTCTAAAGTTTTATTAGTAAACTAGAGTATTTTTCCATGAAGTACTTTTTATATAATTTTTTTATAGCTCTAAGTCCATTTAGCTTCTCATCCAGAGATTTTTCTAAAAAATTTGATATTCTTTTGTAAAAATTAACCATTTTAAGTGCATCAATATATATCTCGTTTTGTTGAATATTAATTTAGTGTTAGCTGTCTCTTTACTAAATATAATTATTGTTATTACTTTAGTTGTTTCCAATTTAATTTAGATTTTCCTGATAAGCTACTGCTGCTGCGTTATTAAGCAACAAAGTATTATTGTTCATTTAGCTAATAATGTTTTAATTTCTTTCTCTTAATTGCTGTCTTTATTCTAAGTTATCATTATATTATAAAACATTTGCATGCTAGTCAGCCATGATTGTAAATATCTCACTTCTCATCAAATTTGTATCTATCTTAGTGCCATTTATATTTTCTTGTAGTTCTTCTTCGAAGATAGGTATTCTTTCTATTAGAGTACCAATATTTTTATCGTCCTTTTAAAATGCCTTATTATTATTATTTTCTTACTAGATAATAGTGTTATTTTCATTCATTAAGTCATCTGTGTTAAATATTGAAATATTTTTTTCTTTTCCCACACTTTAAGATTTATCATTCGATTGCAATTAATTATGTTATTTTTAGCATGATAATCGTTAATCATTATATTCAATAATGTTGACTTTAGGCATTAACTCACCTTAATTAAGTAATATATTTTAAGAGTAAGATCTTTAATTCTCATTTTAAATTGGAGATTCTTAATTATTAGATATATTGCTAAGGAATAAAGGATTTTGTTGTTTTAAAGTTCTATTATATTCATCAATCTACCCTTCAACTATTTCTTCTAACTCTTCCTCTGCGAAAAAATCTTCATATTATTCCATAGGAACATCAAGTAAATAATCAAGCTCTGTCATTGTTTCTGTTTAATATATATAAAATGATTGGTAAAATATTACTTAGAATTATTTATTTGATCACTTGCATAAAAAAATTTGATTAATTAAAATACTTATAAGAGAAATTAACATCTAAACTAATTAATGTAATAAATATGTAATACTTTTATTAATATAAAACGTAATTTTAAAAAATGTCCATTTTTTTATACTTTTTTAAAATTTTATAAATATTTATTTACCTATTGTGTATATCAGAGATATAATTTATGTTTTTTAAAACTCAAACACTTTGGAGTCATTTTTCATGTATTTAAGTAAACGCAGAGTCTACTCAATCCATTGATAAGGCTTCTAATTATAAATCAATTCGCATTCATCTTCTGCATACTCAAACCAAGTGAACTAATGAAATAAAATATATTTATAAAAATTAAAACTTCCAATAAAATAAAGTGTTAAATTTTTTGCAATAAACCAATTCCAATTTTTTATAGGTAAGTTGATTGATTATTAAATTAATATTTCAAAGATGAATAAAATATTTCGATAATAAAAACAGAAAAATAGAGATTTTGTTTACCTAATTCTTTGGATCTGATTTTTTTTTTATATTATAAGCAATGTAGGTATTGGAGTTGAAGTTAGAGATAGAATAGTTGTTCTCAATCTTCTACTTTATTTAATTATTATATTATTTCAACTTATTTTTGATTGTATTTTTAAGTTGGGCTTTTTAGTCGTTTTAATACTTTTAACCATTAATTTTTGAACTAGATTTCTAACCCATATTTACTTTAAATGTTATGAAGTAAACCCAAGAGTGTTGGTGTTTATATTATAGTAGAATTAAAAAAAATTGTAGGCTATTTAGCAATAATAATAATAAGTCCCTTTAGTTATTCTGTTAATAAATATAAAGGTAATGTATTATTGTTTGACTTGAAATTATTAATTTTTTGATATTTTCAATTAAAAATTCAATTATTTTAAATGAATATATATAGATACTTTCTTCTAATCAATTTTTTTGGTACATTAAAGCACTTTATAATAAAAAATAAGTAGAAAATATTCATTTGTTCATTTTTCTTTGTTTATTTGTCATTAAAACTCAATACATATTTTATTTCAGTTTTTTAGTTGGCTTTATAAAGAAAATACATAAGATAGTTTCCATGTAATATGGTAATAGTTTTTTAATTAAATGGAGTAGATTGAATTATTTTTTAAGACTGACTCTTAATTAAATGATAAAGAGATAATTTATGCACTAATTTATACGATTATCATTTTCTTATTAAGTAAGACGCAAAGGTTTTCATGTTTTTTTAATTAATTATTAAAATTTGCAAATAAATAGAAAGATTTATAAACAAATTAAAAAAAAAAGTTCATTCGTATCTAAAAAGACATCTTTCTTTCCTTTACCCATTATTTAAACATATGAAAAACTTGATTTGTGACATATTTTTTTCTTCCTAAATTCTTTTATAAATCTAAAATATTCTCTGTCCATAATACAAGTGATCTCTATTCTCTCTTTGAATTTACATGAATTTTATGATATTCTTTTATTGGTTTATCTTACACTCCATTTTTTCTCAGAAGTACCTTTTTGCAAATTTTTGACTTTTTCAGATTAGATATTGTAAATATGTAAAAATTTTTGCAAAATAGTCTAATTAATTAATTTAAAGATAAAAATTTGATTAGACTCAATTTTAATAATTTCTCCAAAAATTGAAAATAAAACCTTTAAATATTTTATTTTAAGTGCAAGTTTATTTTATGAATTACAATCATTATTTTTCTTGCTTTAAAAAATTTATTATTAAATTTTACTAAAATATATATAACATTTTATAAAAATTATAAATGAAAATTCTTGGACTGATTTTTAATTATGGCTTATCTTTTGCTTTTTGGGTGATAAAAATTTTTAAAAAGCAATATCTTTATCTCAAATATTGTCCAAAGATTTAATAATTTGATTTATATTAAATGGTTCGAAAGATATCTTTGTAATATGAAAAATATTATCAAATTTAATAATTTGAAAAACAATAAATATTTATAATTAATTGTGAAGAAATTCTTTCAGAAAAAAAATAAACTTAAAATGAAATACGAATTGATTTATAACATTCCAAATAGATTTATTTTTAATAATTGTCTAGCAATTAAATAATAAAATTAAAAATGTAGCTAAATTTAATGAATAAGACTTATTTATTCATTTTCTAATTAATTTAATTTTTTAAAATTATTGATTTATTTCAGCCATTTTATTATTGTTAACTAAAAATGAATTTAAAGTTAAATTTTATTGAAAATTAAATTTAAATCTAACAAACTAATCAATAATTTTATAAATTATACCATACATACATAAATATTACTTGAAATTTAACTTTAAATTATTTTTTTAATAACTAATATAAACTAATAATTTTATTTATAAATTCATATTACTATTTAATGTTTGTTTTTTTACATTTTAATTTTTAGATTTAACTAAAATGAATGATTTTTCATTTTTTTTGAATAAATATTCAAAAACAAACAATTAAATGTATTTTTTTAATATCTTAATTTTATATTTTTAAAATGAAATATTTTGTTTTTATAATTCATCAGATTTATATTAAAAATTTTTTTATTTCATTATTAACGTTGAATTCTAACACACTGTTAATTTTCTTTTGCTTTTTGATAAAAAAAATAAAATATGTTTATTTTTCTTATTGATGATGATAAAATATCATACAATAGATAAAATATAAACCATATATTAAACTTTGATAAATTTATTTTATAATTTTATTAATATTTTTACATATTTATAAATTTGTTTTTTTAATATATTTTTTCATAGTTTAGGCTCAACTCTCAGTCTTTTTTTCTTGTTAGCGAAAGGAACTAGAAGTATCACCGTATACGAGAGGAATTTCAATTAAATCAAATTATATACCGCAAAGAGGACTTTCAGGATCTTCTACTTTGACAGTTCTAATATTGTTTACTCCTTTATAAGTTTATGATTTTCCTTAAGTAATTGGATTAGTTGTGATTGTGAAAGAGTTAGTGTAGCCAAGCTTAGTAACTCTGAAACCATTTTTATTGAGAGCAGGATAGAAACCTTAACTTTAATAAGCAGGATCAACAGCTGTATAATGGTTCATAACGCATGTGTTACGAGGTAATTCAGGGTCTAAATCTTTTCCCATGCATTCATCGTGGTATTTAGTAATTACCTTAAACATTTATGGAAGGGGGAAACCTTCTCTTCTTTAATTCCAGTAGTCTACATAATCTACACCGATTTAACAAGCAACAATCTTGTTATCGCAGATAAGAATAGAACCAGTTTAAGTAGCCAAAGCAGGTTATAATCTCCATCTAAGGAAAGGAGCAATTTCCTCGTATGTAGTTTAAAATCTCATCCAGAGAGGATTAGTTTTGGTAAAGCTATCATAAATGAGCTTAACACAATCTTCTAAGTGTTCTTCTCTCATAATATCTAAGGTGTAGTCAGTACGTCTAGCAGGCTTTTCGGCAGGAGCTGGTTGAGTTTAGGTCTTTTCTTCCTATTTTGTTTGAGTTTATTGCTCAATGGTAGCGTTTTATTCCATTTCTTAAGTATATATATTAACTGTGTGTTATTTTGCTATATTTATTTTATTGAAGGGTATGATAATATATCCAAATCTATTTTTTTATAATATTAATATTTATAATTTTGCAATGCGGGATTTGTGTTTTATAGCTTAGAAAAACTTATCATTTCTGATTAATATCACGTCACTGATATATGTAATTTACAAATCTAAGATAAATATAAGAAAGAATATTTAAAAATTGGGTAGATTCAACTATTTTAGATTAATCTCAAAGTTACTATACCCACCGAATAAAAAGTTAATATATAAAATATAGATGTTATCAATCTCCCTATAAAATTAATCAAATCATTTTGTATTCATTTTGAATTGAGAAAGAAATTTATTTCTTTTTTGTGTAAACAAGATTTTTGATAATAAAATTCTTTTGTATCTTTAAAATAATAAAGCAATGCACGTAGATTCGAATATTCTAAATTTCTTATTTGAATACTTTTTGAGTATTCTATTCGTTTTATTTGATTTTTGAAGAGTATATAATATAATTTCTATTCTATGAAATTAATTTTTTTCATTTGCCAAAATTGTTAATAAAAAAGTAATAAAAATAAATGTGTTTTTGACCAAAAATCTGCTATGTACTTTGAATTTAAAATAAAAAATCAAATAGAATTAAAGAAATATTTTTAAAAGAAGATTGAGAATAATATTTTTTAAATTGCTTAAGATAATTATAAAATTTCCAATTTTTGTAAGATTTGATTTTTACAAATAATAAGTAAAATAATAAAAGAATTCAGCTTAGTTTACAAATAAAAGAAATTAAAAAAGTTCTAATTAAGACATTAAAAATAAAATTAATATCAAATGCTAATCGTCATAATAAATAATTGATAAAAAACTAATCTTATCAAAAAAAATAAGCCAACTTGATAAGAAACTAAATTCATTCTGAAATATGATCTCTTAAATTAATTGCTATTAAATAAAACGAATTCTTAGTTATTTTAAAAGATAAATTATCATAAATAATTTAAAAATTATTACTGACAAGTTATATTTTAAAAATACTCTAATTTAAGAGCATTAATAAATTTTATTCTTTAAGAAATAGTAAGTAGAAAGGTATAAATAGATTAATGCAGTTTAATAATCTTAAATAAGAACATCTCATTAAAAATTTTTGTATTTTTATTTAAGAAATTTAAAAAAAAATAAATAATTATTTAAGATTTTTAATAAAAACATTTTTTATTTATTTATTTTAAAAAAGATTTTCTTAAAAAAATAAACAAAATTATAAATTTGCATAAATTAATTTGTGATATAAATTTAAGAAATTCATGATAAATTATTAAAAGATTTGTTTATCTATTTCAGCTATTCTGCTATTTAAAATTTAAAAAAACCTATTTATAAGACTTAAATAAAAATGTTTATATTTTTAAAAAGGTAAAAAGCTTTATGTTCAACATTAGTTTTACTGTTTACAAATATAGTATGAAAATTGTTTAAAGTATTTTTTAGTAGTAATATTCGTAATAATGGCTGGTTAAATCAGTAAATATTATAGACATCTATATTTTTAAATATTTATTTCTTTAACATTTTTAATTTCTACTTGGAACAACTCAAAATAAGTTTTTAAAATTTTTTACTAAAAATTAAAATAAATAAAAGCTTAATTTTTGTAAGCGCAAAATATTTTATTTTAATATGTATTTCAGATTATGAAATTTGATGAGTTTATCTAAATTATTAGCAAAATTTATTTTAAAATAAATATTTTGGCATTTATTAGATCTAAAAATAATTTAAATATATTAATTTCTTATTAAATTTACCTTTTTAATTATTTTTGGTAGAAATTTTTTAAGTAGAATCTCAAATTTTTTTTCTTTAAAATTAGGGTAATTTGGATTTTATTTATAAAATGGACATGCATTGAGGTGAATTTGATATGAAATAATGAATTGCAATAAAAGAATGAAGAACAAACATCAAGTAAGTAACATATATTTTATTATTTATTATAAATTTATGGAGTAATATTAAATTTGTGATAGTGTTGTTTTTAAATTAGGCAACGTTTTTATTTGTTATCAGTTTGAGTGGATCAATCAATCCATTAAAATTTTTTCAAAGCTTGGGTTGGACTTCAACTTCAGGACCAGCGATTTGGATCAATTGCATTTCAGTTCCATAGAGAGGGTGGTCTTTTTCAGTGAATTAGATGCTTCTGAGTTGGCTTGAACCTTAGTTTTCTTATACCTTACCAACGATAAGGGGGTTAGTGGTGATTGCAAATGAGATTTCATAACCAAGACCAATAATTCTGGCAGCTTGCATGTTAAGAGCTCCATAGAAACCACAACCATTGTATTCTTCATCAACACATTGGTAGGAGAAAATGCAAACTTTATTTCTTTCAACCTTGTAGTTAAGGAGACCGTCGAACAATTAAGCGTGAGCCTTTCCAATAACTTAGAACATTTCAGGGAGATCTTTTCCCTTAGTCTTAGGGTTAAGGAAATCAACATAGTCAATAATGATTTATACAGCAACAAGCTTGTTGTCGCAGAATAAAACTGAAGAAGTTTCAGAATCGGCAGTGCATTCGATTCTTTCTAAGATAATAGGGATGACCTATTCAGGGGTGGATTAGAATTTTTTCCAAACAGGGTTGTGCTTGGTGAATTCTTTGTAGATGAGCTTAGCTACCTCAGGGCAGTGCTCCCTTCTCATAACTTCGATGGTGTAGTCTTCTCTTCTTTGTCTCTTAGCCATTTTATTAGAATATGATTTGCTATTAATTTTTCTATATTTTAGATAGTCTTTTAATTTTATGAAATTTATTATTATTTATATCGAAATAATTGGTGAAAATGGAGAAGTATTTAAAGTTATTAATTATATGGCATTATAAAAGATATTAAATTTACCTTGTAATTTACTTCTGATTTTGGCTAAACTAGTTCAATTATACACTTGAGTATGTTTGTTATATAGATACAATTAGTTACTAAATCTTGATCTTAATTTGCCTATTACCCTTTATATTTAATTAAATCTTTCCCTTCCTAGAGTTACAGTATGAAGTGATTAATTTTAAAAGATATTAAATACTAATAATTCTTTTACTTTAATTTACATTGATGTTTTGATAAAAGAAATTTATTAGCAAAGGAAAGCCATACTCTAATATTTAATTTTTATTTCGTGAAAAAGAGTAATTAAACAAGTGTTTTAGGTCTAAGGCAAATGCCTTTATATATCCCCCACCAGCTCAAAAAGATATTTCAAACCCAAACAATTACGTCAACTAAAACTGATTTCGTCATATTCAAACAGAAAAAACTAAAACCATAAAAGTTGAATACTTATGAAAATTAAAATTATATTTTATGTTATTTTATAGGATAAGAATAATTTTTCCAGACTATTTTTATTTGCATCATTATTTTTTCTGACATATTATAGCATTACCTATTATCAAAAATAAAAAACTATTTGCTTCTTCATATAAAGTTAGAGAGTATTGAATAAAAAACAAATTATAAATTTCATAATTACGCTTACAATTCCTACAAATTAAAAAATATTCTTTTATTAGAAGCACAAAAGAAACCATTTAAATAGCTTGAAAGAAATTTAGGATATATCTCAAAAAGCAAACAATTCATTCTTGGGAGAAAAAAATATCATACCATTTGAAATTTATATTTAGGTTCAAACGATGTTATTTCTTTTTATAAAGTATAAATTTGTAATTAAGACAAAAATGGTTAAATATATTGATAATAAATAAGCATTCAATTAGCAATATATCTGAGAAAAAAAATTTAAATCTAGAACGATCATATGCTCATAATTTGTATTGAAATTTTTGTAAGTAAATAGCAAAAATTGACATTATTAAAATAAAAATAGGATTTATAAAAAAATAATGTTTTGATTATTATAATTTTTACGAGATACTCTTAGATGAAATAGAAAAAATTTTAGTTAAATTAAATAATCACTTATTTTTAAATAGGTTTGAAATTCATATTGCAATTTAAATTTTTGTTTTAGCAAAGAAAATATTTTTTATCTTGAGAATAGTTATTAATTTTAAAAAAGAAGATAACAGCTTATATTTTTTTTAGATAATGAGTGAATAAAATGCAAGATACTTTTATAAAAAAAGAGACAAAAAAATATAATTTTGTTTGGAAATCATTAGCTGTGGTAAATTATATTAGTAGTCTATAAAAATTTTAAATATTAATCAATTCAATTTAAATTAACAAACAGGTTTAACAAAATCAGAGGTCAATATTTTTTTACCAAAATATTTATATATTTTAATTAATTCGTCATTGGACATCCAAAAAAATTATAAAAGATATTAGAAAAGGATATCATTACTTTTGTTAATTGATATTTTTGTTTCTTCCACTATTTTGACATATAAATAGTGATTTCAATGCACTAAATTTTTAAAACAACACCATTTATCTACTATCTTTAATTTTATTTTTATTTTTTAGACAAATTTGATGAATAAAAGAATGAGTTATATTTCATAACAAAGAAATAAATATGGTAAAATTAATAGGATATTTACATTTTTGATTTTTGATTTTTAGTTTTTAGTTTTTAAATTTTGAATCTTAAATGTAATTTGAATATTTCCTAAAATATTTTAATAATAAAAATCATATAGAAAACTAATAAAAATAAAATTTAAAGCTATTATTTTTATATTATTAAAGGATATGATTTGCTTATATAATTTCGTAAGTAGTATTAATAAAAGAATTATTACTTATTTTATTTTGAAATTATTGTTTAGTTTACATTTTTTAAGCAAATGATTTGATATTAATGCAATGGTTAAAATCAGTGTGTTAATTAATTTTATGGTAATATTTTAGGTTTCTCATATTTAATTTTTAGAATGATTTCATTTTCCTATTCTATTTCTTTTATTCATACTTTGTAACATTGACAAATTAGATATATTTAATATTGTAAAAATTTAATTAAAAATTCAACATTAAAAAAAATGTTTTTTTTCTTAAAAGTAATTGCAATTAAAAAAATAAATTCTTTGAGTTTTTTATGATAAATTTGATTTTTTAAAATTAGATGTTAAGCAATTATTTTAGCTTTTAATAATTTAATAGTAAATTTAAAAATGTTAGAATATAAAGCATATAAAAACTTAATTCAACATTTTTTTCAAAAATAAAATAAATTATGAATTAATCAGAATTTAACAAAAATGTTATTTAAAATATTTTTCATTATCTTACAATTTTTTAATATAAATAATATAATATATTAAATGAATTGAATGAAAAAAAAATTTGTTTATTTATTTTAAAAATTGTTAATCTCGGGAAAATAGCTGATATATATAAATGAAATAATGAATAAAATAATTAAAGCTAAATTAATGTTAAATAGTAAATATGTTGTTTACCTTATACCTATTAGTTTGATTTTACATTTATTTAATTTTCAGTTAATATCTATTAGAATTGAATAACAACCATGTAAATATATTTATTTATAAACGACCAATATTTTTAATTTAAAATCAATCTAATTTACAAATTTTGAAAATATCATTTCCCCCTACTTTACTATCATTTTATTATGTAAATATAAATTAGTCGTGTTGATTTTTAAATGTTTTTTCTTTTATTTTAAATAAGGATTTTCACCAAAATTCATTAATCCACATATATTTTGGTAATTAAATCAAGTTACTAAAAAAAATTAAATTAAATAATCAAACAAAATAAGTTGATAAACACAAGTCGTTAAGTAGAAAAGTCAATTTTCGAATATTGTCAACACAAAAAAAGCAATACAAAATTAGTTATAGGACAAGCAAATCAATTATTTATTATTTAAGGTTAATAGTATATTTTAGGGAGATATGAGCGATTAAAAGAGCTACACTTCGCCTAAGTAGCTCATGTATTTAACAATCGAAGATTACTAATTTGATAATAAGAAAATATAAAGCAGTTTTGAATGTAGGGTTAGCATTAATGACCTAGAACTTGATGTTCTCTCTCTTCATAAAGTTTCTCTTGAAATTCCTATTTATTCTTATGGAGACTCTTTAAATCTGTTTTTTGTTAATACAAAAAATGAATTAATTGGCAGTATAACTTTCCCATTGGAGTTATTTTCAGATTAAAAAATTGTCAAAAGATGGTAAATTTATTGTAGCTCTTAATAAATAATCAATTAATCAATAAAATACAAGGATAACTCTTTTTGACCCTGAGGATGATAATTATGATGGAGACTTTCTTGAAGATGATACTGAAGTGCCTCGCGTATTGCTGAATTTCTAAATGTCTTAAATATCTAACGAGTACATATCTTAAGAATAGTCAAAATACGTCTACATGAGCAACTTAAACTCTTTAAAGTAAAATACTTTTGTTTATACCTATAAAGAAACCTTATAGCAATTATTTTTTAAATTAAAAAAATTATAAGTGGATTCGAAGGTAGTAATAATGAAGGAATGAATGCAAATACCTACAATTAAAATAGCTCTAATAGCAATTTTACTTATAACATCCCAATAAATAATAAATTTGGAAAATCAATTGATGCTTTGCAATAATAAGATGAGAATAGGGAGTAAAATACATTGAATTCATCTGCAACAAAGAAGAATAACAAAGAAATAGAAACAACTCATTTTGAATTAGAGTAGCTAAAGTAAAAATATTTTTTTTCTTTTCTTTTTATATATATATATTTTTTTAACAGAAAAGATTTTGAATAAGAGCTTTAAAAAATTAAATAAGTCACATAGGACTTCTCAAACGAGAGAGATATGTTTTTAAAATCTCAAAAATTAACAAGTGCTAATTCCTCTTATGAGCTTTTAACTGAAAAGTAAATAAATTATTAAAATAAAATATCAATTCAGAGTTTTTTTTAATAATAGGATAAGCAAGCAAATAAATGAGTTTATTTTGCAAAATAATTAACAAAAAAAATAAAATGAATAAATCAGCTCTCTATAAAAAGAGATATATAGCCTGAAAGCTACAATAGCAACTAGAGATATAAATATTAAGGATTTAGAGCAAAAGTTAAAAATAATGAAACAAAGAGAGGAGTAATTATATGTTCAAATATAAGCTTTGAATGTAGTTATAGATGACTTAAAAGCTTAAAATAGTGAGCTAAAGCAGCAATACTCTGAGATTTAAGAAGCACTTTAGAGTTCAGATCGAAATAGCTTAAATTAAACACAGGTAAATTTGAATTTTCTAAAATTTTATTTCTAATTTTTTTTTCTTGCTTAAGAAATTCAAGAAGGAATCAGAAAAAGATATTCAAGATTAATTAGACTAACAAATAAACAGCTTTGATAAAGAAGTTAGAGATCTTTAAGAAGAAATCCAAAAGAGATAACAAAAAGAGCTAGAAAATGAGTCTAAGCTTAAAGAATATGAGTTACAATTCAAGATTCAAGACAAAAAAATATCTTAATTGCTTTAAATCTAAAGAGAAAGTGACCTGCTATAGAAATGCAAATCTAACTAAGGAGATTCTAGAGATAGTCATATTTAATTTGAATAAAATGTCTTATTGGAATAAATCAAAAAAAATTATGAGTTAAGCATAAATAACCTTACTGATATAATTCAAAGCAAAGATAAATTAATTTCGGAGCTTAATTAATAACTATATATGTCAATATAGCCTGAAAATGATCTCTCAGCTTCAAACTACTCTTAAAAACTAGGAAATTCTCACAGCGGTAAAAAAAGTGAATAAATAGAATTTTTAGAAAATGAAATACTACGCCAAATATAGTTAATAAATGCAAATGAGAAAAAAATAAATGAATTAGTCTATGAAAATAACGATCTCAGAGAGAAAAATTTCAATCTACATTAGAAACTTAATATTTCAAAGAGTGAAGGTCTCACTAAGAATTAACTTTTACAGCAAAAGACTAAAGAATTAGAAATTTAAATTTCAGAGTTAAGAGAAAAAAATTATTCAGATTACCATGAAAAAGAATTAATAAACGCAAAATATGAAAAAATTTAATTTGACTTTATTTAAATGAAGGAATTACTTTCTTTGAAAGAGTTGGAAGTGTAAAAATTAAACTCACTAATACAAGAGATATAATATGAAAACTCTCAAATTCCTTCACTAAAAGAATCTATACATAAATTTGAGTTTAATTACTAGTAAATTTAAGCTAAAGTTGAAGAAGTTGAATAGGATAATAGAGACTATATGTCATAGAATAAAGTTTTAGAAGAGACTCTTGCTTAAATGAGAGCTTAGAAAGAAGGTTTATTATCTAAATATGAAGAAGTATAAAAAAAATAATAAGGAACTATGCTATAAATGGAAGAATTAGCTTAAAGGACAGAAGAAATGCTCAACGAAATCTAAATTTTAACTGAAGAAAAGGATTTGTTGAAAGAAAAGTATGAAGTTACTATCGAAGAAAGAAATTTGAAAGAAAATGAATATACGAAGTCAGTTTTAGAAATCAAATAAACAATAATAATAATGCAATAAAATCTAGACAATGTTAATAATATCCTAAATGAAGAGAGATAGTTGAATTCATAGCTATAAGAAGAAATAGCAAAATTAAATGGAGCAAATAGTTAATTAGAAAGCTAATTTATTGAGGAATCAATCAAATGCAAATAATTAAATGAAAGAGAAGTTCACTATAAACAGGAGATAGGCAATTTATAATAGTAAATTGCATATAAGCACTAAGAATTACTTTAATTAAAAGATTAGATAACCAGCTTAAGTGATTCTAGCTCTGAATTCAAAGAAGAAGCTTAAAAGAAATTTGAGTACATGAACCAAGTAATAAAACAAAAATAATAAGAAATAGAGGATATGTAAAATTAATTGGATGATCTAGAAAAATAAATATAAGATTTAAATCATCAATCTGAATAAAAGTTAGAATCCTAAAAAATTTAATATAACCAATAAATTTAAGAGCTGAACAGCTTAAATTAACAATATATATTAAAATTCACTTAAGAAATTGAGAATTTGAAGCTTACAGAATAATAAGAAAAAGATTAAAATGATAAGAAATTAAATTTGCAAATTAATAGCTTAAATAGTCAAATTTTAAATCTTTAAAGTGAATTAGAAGAGAGTAGATCAAGCAATTAAGCCTAAATTAAAAGCTTTAAAACTTAGATTGAGCTTCTTTAAAATAAAAATGAATAAATAACAGATCAGCTAGGTTAGCAAGACTTATCTATTTAGATGTATGAATAGAAAATATTGCTGCTCTAAAATTAAGAAAATGAACTCAAGATAAACTATCAAAAAGAGTTAGAAGAGCTAAAGGCTCACCTAATATTCCAAAAAGAATAAGAAATGACTCTATAAAAGTAGGACCTTACTTTATTATACTAAGGATAAATAGATGATATGGCAAAAAGTATGCAGTAGCTTTAATTTGATTTAGATTTTACAAAACAAAATTTGAGTAGTTAAATAGAAGAAGCTCAAAAATAGAATGCATTATTACAAAAATAAGAAGAAGAAATATCTCAACTTAATAGTGGCATAATAAAATATTAAAATTAAAACTAAGAATATAAAACTTAATTAGAATTAGAAAAATAATAATATTTGGAAAAAAATAATTAGCTTAATTAATAACACAAAAAGTAACTAGATGAAATTTAGTTGGATCACTCAAAATTATTAGATGAATTGAGGAATTAGATAAAATTTTTAAATGAAACATATTAAATTAATTAATAATAAGATGAAGATAAAATTAATGATTTGGATTAAAAAGTGAAGTAATCAAATTAAGAAAATTAAGAAAAATAAGAATAAATAGAATTATTAAATGAAAATATTGAAAACTATTAAAACTCTCTGAATGAAATCATATCTAAAAATAAAGAAATTTAGGAATAGTATCAGTAGTTATCCTTAGAAAACTAAGTTGTTCTTGCAAATTACTAATAATCAAAATAATAAGTTGAGTAGCTTTAATAAAAACTTGATGATACAAATAATTAATGTGATAAATATCTAAAATTATAAGAGTCATATGAATAAGAAATAGCTAATCTTAAGGAATTTATCTTATCTTAGGGTAATTAGTTAAAAGAATCTGAGGATATCATAGCTACTCACATAAAAGAAGTAGAAAATTTAACAAATATTATTAATGAGTTTGAAATAATTCGTTAAAAGCTCATCGAATCAGAAGAAACAGAAGCTAAACTATAAAATTAGCTTGAAATTTCTTAATAATAATAAAAAAATTATAAAGATTTATTGGAAGAATAATATCTAGAAAGTAGCAAACTTCAGCAAAAAATTGATGAATAATAATAAGTAATTAAGAGTTAATCATCAGATTTGATTAATCTTATTAATGAAAAGAAAGAATTGTAAAATCATTATGAGGAAAAAATTACTAATCTCAATGAAAATTTAAAATCTATTGAAGATGAAAAATACCAAGAATAAAATGCAATTCAAGAGAAAGATTCAGTAATAAATTAACTAAGAAAAGAGTTGGAGCAATATAATCAAGAAAAGGAAAGTTTACAATCTGAATTTAAATAATAAATGCAAGATCTACAAGAATTAAATATTAATTTAAAAAAATAAATAGAAATTTCCACATAAACACTTCATGAAAAATAAACAGAAATAGAAGAATATAAGCTTAGATTAACAGAGAAAGCTAAAAAAATTGAAACAAATCAGTAGGAAGTATAGGAGAATAGCATAAAATTATAAATAACTATAGCTGAAAAAGAAAATGCAGAATAGAAAATAATAGAACTCACTAAATTATTAAAAGAAGCTTAACTAAAGGAAGAAAAACTGACAGCAGAATTGTTAAAAAAAGAAAATCTAATTTTAGAAAATGTTGATTAAATAAACATGATAAATGAATAATTAGTTATATGCGAGATAAATTTAAAGGAAAATAAATAATTTGAAAAAGAATGTCAACAAAAAGATGAGTTAATCAAGCAACTTCAGTCTCAAATTGTCTTGCTTAAAGATTAGATTAAATTACTAGAAGTTTAATTCAATGAAAAACAAAGTGAAGCTTCAAAACATCAAAAGCATAGCCTTTAAAAAGATTTTTAGATTCAAGAAAAAGAAAACGATCTACAAAATTTATCTAAGGAAAATCAAGATTTAAAGTAAAAATTGAACCTAAATTAATAAGAAATTATTAAATTAGAGGCAGAAATAGCAAATATAAAGAATAAATCATTAAGTGAATATAATGAGATGCAAGAAGAATAACAAAAATTAAAGGAGTCATTTTAATAAGAAAAATAACAATACAAAGTTTAAATAAATGAAATTAAAGATAATGCTGAAAAGGAAAAATAAAACTTCAAAAAATGTAAAGAAAACTTAGAAGAGTAAAATGAATAGCTTAGATTGCAAGTTTCTAAAGCATTAACAGAAATAGAAGAATTAAAATCTGTTAATGATTAAATTTTTGCTAATAAATTAAGAGAAGAAACGAAAAGATTCACTTCTTTGATGGAAAAATATTATGAGCTTGAAGAAACAAATAATAAAAACTTAGAAAAACTTTAGTAAAATGAATCTCTCTTAAAAGATATGCAAGAATAAGAAGTCATTAGAAGCACTTAATTGAGTGATCTTAATTAAATTATTAAAGAAGCTAATACTTTAAACAAAACTCTGGCTGCATAAATCGAAGATCTGAAAAAGGACATAGATGAGAACGATCTAAAGTAAAACGAAAAAATAGAATAAGAAAAAAAAAAAAATAGAAACCTAGAAGTTAGATTACAAGATTTATAGGAATAAATAGTATATCTTACTTAAGAAAATGAAAAATATGCTCTCAGTTAACAAAGTTAGATAGAAACACAAAAACTCGAGGATTTGCAAAGTGAAAAAATTTTATTACTCTAAACAATTGAAAGTTCTAATAAAGAAAAGGAACAATTGATGCAAGAATTAGATTATTTCAAAGCAGAATTAGAATAGTTGCAAATAGACAGAAAAGTTCTCTAAGAAGAAGTTGAATTACTTAATAAAATGACAACTTTACAGTTAAAAACTTAAGAAAATGATGTAAAATCAGTATATTAAGAATAATTAGAAGAAGCAAATAGGATTAAGCTAGAATTAATTTAAAGTTTATAAGATAAAGAAAGAGAATTGTCTGAAAAGGAAGCTGAATTGCTAGCAACTAAATTATAAGAGCAAAGCTTAAGTAAAAAAATTGAAGACTTGAGAAGCTCTTAAGAAATGCTAACAAAAGAATAATAAAAATTCTAAATTATTTAAGCTGAAGAGCTAGAAAGTAAATTAAACAAATACAACGAAGACAAAATGAGTATGATATAAACTATTAACGATTTAGAGTATACTATTGACAAATTAGTTAAATAAAATGAATTATTATCATCAGAAATCGAGAAAAGAGATAGAGAATACATTTCTGTTTGCCAACAAATTGAAGATACAGAAAATAGATTAGCTATGTAATCTGATTCATTGTTTTACTAAGAAAAATATGAAACAGCATTAAAATAACTATAAGAAAAGCAACAAGAAATAGACAATATTAATAAAATTAGTGAAGAAAAAATGTTAACTTTGAAGAATCAAATTGAGGAATTAAAAGTAAGTAATAAATAAAGCAGTGAAATTTTTGAAGCTGAAAAGAGAAATAAAGAATAGGAAAGGGATAATATTCTTTTAAAAGAGCTAAAAATGAAAGAAGAGCTCCTTTTAAATCTAAAAGAAGAGATTTTGTAGTTAAAATAGAATTATGATTAAGAAATCAAAGACTCAAATTAGAAGAATAATGAATTAATATAAAGAAAAGAATAAGATCATTTGATGCAAATGAACCACATGAGAAATGACTTAGTTTAATAGTTCAGTGAATAATTTGATCTCCTCAAAATGAAGTCTGAATAAACTGAATTATAAAATGCTGAATAAATTTAGAGCATAATTACAGAAAAAAATGAAATAATTGAAAAAATTCTTAAGGAAAAAAATGAAATCTTAAACGATCTCTCAAACTAAAAGAATTGCTTATATAATGAATTCACAATAGAAAAATCTAGACTTATTTAAATGAATGAAAATCTCCTAGAAGAGCTATCAGGGTTACGCTAGTCTCTGCATAAGGCAAATCTAAGCGAGCAAAAGAAACTGCAAAGCTCAGGATAAAAAAATAAATATGAATCAGAAAACGATTATATAACTTAACAAAATTACGAAGCTTAGGATTTGCATGAACAACTTTTAGTTAAAGAAAAAATTATAAAGTTGAAAGAATAAGAAATCAACGACCTCATTTAACAAAAAAATAAAATTGATGAAAAATATTAAGAAAACCTTCTTAAAAATGACGATTTAATAAATAGGATAGAAGAAATTTCTAAGAGAAATCAAGAATTAATTTATCAAAATGAAGAATTGACTGAGATATTTGAGAAAAACTAACAAAAATTCTAGGTTTTATCCGAAATGTATGATTTAAGGATGAGTGAAATTCATAACTTGCAAAATTAGCTTGATCAATTTGCTAGCCCTTCGAGATTATAGATATTTAGTTAAAATAGAGACCATAACAGTAAGATAGATAGATAAGATGAAGATGATGATAGACACACTCTAAAAGATAGAAATATTTTGAATAATGAATCAAGTATTATTCCTTTAGATACATAAGAGGTATGTGGAGATAGCACAACCTATAATTACTAAAATGAAATTCCTTAGTAAGAATCATTTTTTGAAAAACACCCTGCAGCTTTAGCAGCAGTTTAAGCATCTAACTCAGCTCGCTAACAATATTTATACTACGGATTGTCTTATGAAGATCTTTAAAAGAAAGTAGCTTAACTTGGAGAAGAATTAAATATTGTAAGACAAGAAGACGAAAGTAAGAAAATCTAAATTACTGAACTTTAAAAGTAATTAGATATTATGAGAAACTAACAAAATGAGATAGAATTTTCATTGATGTAGTAGCAACATTAAATGAACTTAAAATCTTCAGCAAGGAAAAATCAAAATACTTAGATGTCTTTGCAACTTAATCCATCTAATTAATAAGCAGGTACAGAACTTTCAATAACTAATTTTAACTCTACTGCTCCTGTTCAGTTAACTACAAATACATTTGAGGTTATCCCAGAGTAAATAGCAACTGAAAGAAAAGAAAATAATAAACAAGAAAATTTGCAATAATATTTTGGAGGATCAAGGGCTATATAAATGGCTTAAAACGAAGCAACAATCATTAAATTGTAGTTTGAAATAGAAAAAGTTAATTCTGAGAAAGACTAACTCTATGAAGAAATCAATTCACTAAGAAAAGAAATTGAAATCTTAATACATCAAATTGTTGAATTAGAATCAGAAAATAAGTCACTTAATTAGAAACTAGACAATAAAATAAAATAAGAAGAATTAGATAATAAATTGTCAAATACATTCGAAGAAATCAAAAATTATACTCCTAAACAGTAGAAATATAACTATTAGTAGAACTAGACTCCAAGTAGAGGAGTTAATACATCTCCATTTAATAGATAAGTAACTCCAAATGATAAAAAATCTACTCTAAGCACATCTAAAAAATCTCCCAACAGTGTCAAAAGATAAGAGACAAAGAGTGGATTTAAGTAAGAAATCTACTCAATTTAGGAAGATCATGAATTGAATGATTTGATAGAGAAACATATGGAAATGATTAAAGAACTCTAACTCAAGAACAAGTAATTATAAGAAGAAAATGAGTAACTTAAAGATAGCTTAGGTAAGAATTTGGATGATTTGCAAATGAAAAATGATGAGATTTACATGAAGTACGAAGAAAAAATTAAATAATACAACTCAGGTTATTCAGCAAAATATATTAATTTAATCAAAGAAAATGAAGAATTAAATTTCCTTAACAAACAACTAAAGGCTGAAAATGAAAAAATTACACAATAAAACGCACAACTAAAAGAATATAATGCTTAGTTAATTGAAAAAATATCTTCAGAATAATAATAGAATGTACCAAAGTAAATTTCTAATACTTAATCACCTTTTAAAAGCCCTTTAAGCAAGTAAATTGTTCCAATAATTTCTGTAAATGAACCTCCAGAGTAAGTTAAAGTATCTATGGAGAGACCTTATACTCCTGAAATGTCATACAACTAGTAGGACTTCATTGAGAACTCACCATAGTTCTAGAGATTTATAAGTGGTTTAGAAAAATAATATGAAAATAGTTAGAATGAAAAAGTAAATAACAGATACTAATAAATGTATTTCTTAAATGACAACTACAGTGATGCTCATAGATCTGATTTTATTAATAACTCTAATAATACTAGTACGAATAACATAAATCTCTCAAAAAGTGCTACAAAATTACCTCCATCTGGCTAAAAAAAGGCAAGTGCTTCATTTATTTTTACTCATTCTAAGCAAGATCTAGCAAGTGAAAAGGAATCAAATGTTAATAACTCTTATGTGATAAATAATTAACAGTAATAAAATTGTCTTATGAGTGGATCAAAATCGCAGAGATAAGACAAGAGATCTTCCTCAAATACCAACGCTAAAAACTCTTTACTCTAATTAAAAGCAATTGCTTCTCGTGAGAGTCCTTTTAAATGAGAGTGATTCTAAATTTTTTAAATTCCTTAAAAAATATATCCTATTAAAATTAAATTAATTTTATTATAAAATTTTTAATTAATTAATTAAATAAATAAATAATTAGAAAATGCATCGTATAATTTATGTAAATTAAAAATCTTAAAAAAAAATATTTTATAAAATATAAATTTAATCAGATTCATTTAAGATATTTTTCCTTCCTCTTTTTAATTATTTCTACTTATTTTATATTTTGGAGGTATTTTTTATTGCTATGGCGCTATTTATTTAATTAGGCTATTTTCATCATATTCAAAAGTATTATTGAATATAAACAAACCTTTTAAATTAATAAAAAATAGTAAAAATCACCTTATAATAAGAAAACTTTTGTAATAAATTATACAGATCTTTTCATAAAAGTAATGTAGAAGACAATTAAGGAAAATAATGAAGGGCAGGTGGAAAAATTTGTATTAGTTTAGCTACAAGATGATGATCAAATAAATAGTTTTAACTTGCAGCATTATTATTCTCAATCTAGGGTGAATATGGGAGATTCACTTCACATATAGTTAGGAGACAATATTATGTTTGTTAAAGAAATAGTACAAAAGATTTTAGAAGGACCATATAATTTGTTAAAATAAATTAAATTCGAATTAAAAGGAGTTAAATAAGAGTTTAGTTTGAGATTTATGAGTGAAAATTTTTTTTAATTGTGTTTTGAAAATGAAATAGGAGAAGATATTTTCTAAATAATTGAAGAATTTATTATAATACAATAATAGGATATAAAGTAATTAGAGTTCTTTTACAAGTACCAAATAGATACACATTACAACTAGCTTATATTTAATTTAGTAGAAGAAAAAATAAAAGGTTTGTTGCATGTTTCATTTATATTTTAAATAAATGACATCAAAAAAGATTGGAAGTAATCTGTATTAAACAATATTGGCTGCATGGAATAAGTAATAATGATTTCTACTTGCTGGAATACAAAACTTACACAAGAAGATATTTTATATATTCTTAATAACTGCAAGTCTAATAAATATCTTCTTTTGTAAACATAAAATCTACATTTATCTTTCAGAGAGCCTTTAATTGTAAAAAAATAATAAAAAGAAGTAACTGAATTGTAGAAGATGATTGATTAGATTAAATCAGAAAAGTTTTTTTATTTAGATATAAGTTTTTTTAAACCTGGCTTGATAGAGGATTGCGATGTAATGGAGATGAAAGATTTATGGAGATGGATTTAAGAAAAAGTTAGCTACTATACATCCATTAAAATGAAATTTGCTACATCGTAATAAATTAACAGAGTCATTTTACCGATTCTAGATGCTATTTTGGAAAAAAAGTAATCTATTTTAATAGAATCTTCTGATATCAAGTTAGAATATCAACTACCAACAAGAAATCTTTTTATTCATAGCAAAGAAGACTAATAACAAAAAAACATTTTCAAACCTCTGGACTGGTCTTTTGTTTAACCTTTTATAAGTTAATATAGGCTTATAACTGATAAGTTGCATTTAAATCTTGAAAATACTTCATTTAGGATAAGCAACAGAAACTTATATACTTAAATTATAGATTTTTCTAAAATTAATCATAAAATAAATCATTTTACGATTATTGCCCCATTATTTATTATATAATAAGATATAAAATTAAAAAATATTTGGAATTAAAATTTATTGAGTCTTTCAATTTTAGTAAATTAGCAAATATAACCTAGCACAATTTCTTAAAAAGAAATATAATAGACTAAACAAGGGTCATCACTTTAGTCATCTTAATAGAATTAACAAAAATAATAATTTACTTAGCAACAAATTTAAGTTATAAAATCTGTGGATAACAAAATAGTCACAGCAGTAAAAAGATTCAGAAACAATTAGTATTTAATGATGATATAAGATCTAGAGTTGGCTCATTAAGCATACCATTTAAACTATATTTTAAAGAATCAGTCATACTTTATGCAATATATATTCAAAAACGATTAAAAAAAGTATTAAGTTAAAGATAATTCAGTGAATTTGTTTTTAGAAACAGAAGCAAAATAAAAAATACTTAAAGAACAACAAGAATAAGTTCAATAAAATTTAGAGAAATAAGAATAATTAAAAAATGTTGAAATTCAAACAAAACACTTTTTCTGCTATGAATAAAACTCTAAGTTGAAAAGCATATCACTCAAGTTAAACATGAGGAACAAAAACCCCGAGTTTTTTAATCAATTAGTTACAATCAGAGATTTTACGATAATTCATGATTTAGACATTATTTTGCAAGCAGAAACTGCAGATGGTTAGATAGATTAACTGCTAAAATTCTTTTCAAATTCTAAGTATCTCAAAAATATAAAAATAAAAATATTTTCTTTAAGTCTTCATGACTTGATTCCAAAACTAATGAGATTTATTAAGTCTAATCTTAAAGAGTTACTTACTTTATAAATAATAATTGAAGGAATATACAAGGGTAGTATACTGTAAGAAAGCATTTAAAATATTGTTAATTTGCTTCCATTTAAAGAATAGCAAAAAAAATTTTCAAGTGGTTTTTTAAAATTTTAAGGTTTAAATAATTTAGGAAATATAAGTAATATGCTATAAATAATAAAAAACATTGGAAAGGAACAAGTTATTTCATTAAAAACATAAACATTAGATCTTTCTAAAAATACAGAAAACTAATTTAATATAAGAGTTGACTGCTAAGACTCAAATCAGGATTAAGTATTTGATCACTTTATCATCATTCATTAAACTTATTAAGAATATTCTATTAATTCTTTTGATACAATTATCAATGAATATTAGCTCGAATCTTTCTTTAAGTTTGTTAATGTGTATATTGATAAAATAAGAATTTTAAAAGTACTAATTTTAAATATAGATGATGATAAAAACAAGGCTGATACGCATGAAAAGTTGTTAAAAATAATGTAAAGTTATAAAAATTTTGATAGATTTGAACTCAGATTTAGAGACAGAAACAGCAAAGAAGACTCTTTTATGATTATTTATGATAATCTTAAAAAGTATCTTAATATCTATTTTCAAGGCAACTAAGTTTATTCAATCGACTTTAATTATGATAGATTAATTAATATCTGCTCAAAAATATAAAATCTTTATGAAAATGAATTATAGTCTTTGAAAATTGAGTTAGTATTTGACAGTGAAACTAGATTTTAGAGATGTAAGCTAGATATTTTTAAAATAAAAGGCTATATTTTTAAAAATTTGCTTAATCTTAGAAAATTTTAAGCTTATGTGAAAGTTTTAGATTAATTTACTCGTTCCTTAAAAAACCTGAATATTTTTGATGAGTAAATAAAAGCTATATAAACCAAAGATAAGTGTTATTCTAATTATGCATTATTATATAAAGGCATGCTGAATAGTTAAGTTAAAAACAATTTTAGAAAAGAAATAATATGGGATTCAATATCCTTGATGATTTTTGGATAAATGCATTTGAATTTAAAACCACTTTTATTAAAAAAATTCTAAGTCAACGATATTCTTATGTCAACAGAAGATAATAAATAATAGTAAAAAGATAATTGTCTTCAGTTATTTGAAGAAAAAAAGTTATATTCTTGAAAAAATAAAGTTTTACAGTTAGTCAATGCTTCACATCATTATCAACTACTTAGAAAATGATTTTAGTTTTAAAATGTTTTAAATAATTAATTAAATTAATATTATAAAAAAATTTGTATTATAGGATAATAAATTTTTTAAATATTATATTTGAAGTTTAATTCGAATTTTGCTTGCACATAGGAGCAAGTTTACCTCAAAATTTTGTTAATTTTTTCAATTTATGTAAAAAAAATTTTACAGATTTATTTTAGTTAAAATGCAAAATTTAGAATAATTATTTCAAGATTTTTTTCAAAATTTTAAAGATTAAATTTTAAAATTATTTTTTAATACCTTTGATAAAAATCATAATTACAATTTAGTGGCTTTTAAAAATAAATCTTAACTTTTATGTAAATTTCCCAACCCAATTCAAGAGGTTTGCCTATTAGGGTTGTACACCATATACTTTTATTTTATATAAATAAAATCAAAAATTTTAAACTTATTTTGACTATAATTTTTTTATTTCTTTACTTATTAATATATATTTTTTTTATAATGAATGGATAATACTTAATGCATAAACTATCCAACCTAAACAACATTTAAAATTTAGTTATTTATTTAATCAGGAAATAAGTAATTTGTATTAAAATTCAAAACTATTACAAATTTATTTAAATTAAAGTAACTTGACAAAAAGCGATTAATAAATAATTTTTTATAAATTTTAAGAAGAATTATTTTATTTTTGATAAAATTAATTTAATTAAAAGTAAATTATCTAAATTTAATAGAATTGATTTTATTTTAGTAATTTGAAGCCTTATTATATTATTTTGGAAAAATAAATAAATAAAATATCATTAAAAAAAAATAATACTCACAAATTAAAATGAGATTGTTATTTTTTTAATCTGTGCTTAATGTTTTGTCCTAAGGTTGAAAATAGATTTTGTTTATTATAAATATTGATTGCTTTACAAAAAAGACGATGAGAGTGAAATTATTAAAACTCATAAAAGAATAATTAAAAATTTAGAATAAGATAAGGTAGTGTTAAAACTTAAAATAAGGTACCTAATTTATTAAAAATGTTATTTATATCATTTGATTATAAACAAAAATATCTTATTTAATAAAATAATCATTAATATTCATCAATTCTTTTATTAAATTTTCTATTTCTTTTTTGAGAATAATTAATTTTGTCTTATTTATGAATAGACGACATAAACAAATCGATAAACAATTTATTAAGAAATAGTAAAAAATAAAGGTTTGATAACAATTTTAAATGATCATTTAACAACTTAAAGCGCTAAATATAATTATAATGATTATTCTATTTCAACTGTGTTTAGGCGAAACAACAAATTGCTAGTTAGATATAGAGGATCAATTATAATTATAGTAAATACAATATAAATGCTAAGATAATTCAATTTTAATTGAAAATTAGCAGATATTATCATTTAAGCTAAATCTCTATAATATAAATTTAAGGACAAATATAATTATATAAAATGTATAAAAAATATAAATAGAATCAATAAATATTTAATCTTGCGAAATCCAATTAGCTGATAATAAATATGCCTTTCTTTCCATTTTTAATACATAAAATCTTGAAATAGATCATATTTAAATATAAAAAACTTCTGTTTAATTATAGAATAGTCTTATAGATTTTAGTTAAATTAATTAGATCTGTATAAAATATTTAATAATAGATGCAGCTATTTTAGATAATAAAAAAAGCTCAATTGTTGAAAAAAATAATTCTTAATATGAATAATCAAATTAATTGTAGTAAGATATCTAAGATAAAAGCTTAGTACAAATAATAGGAAATTAAGTAACTATATAGTAATTAGTAATTAATACAATAGATGGTAATTTAGTAATTAGAATTTTTGCAGATACAATTTTAGAAATTAGTGAAATAATTATTATTATTATTTAAACTGAGGCTAAATAAGTTGAAAATCCTATTACTAATCTTGAATTTTAGTGTACAAAATAATGTTTTATTTAATAAATAACGCTTTCTAAAACATAAATTATTCAAAAGTAAAGAATTAATTGGGGAATAAATATCCATTTTATAGTCAATTAATAATTGAAAATTGGAGTTTTTGATTTTTAAGAATTGAATTTTGTTGTCTTATCAATTACAATTGACAAAAAATATACAAAAAATAAATATTAAGTTTAAAATGAAGGCGAAAATAATATTGAAATAAATAAATTTTCTTTTACAAACTCTTAAGATAACTCGAATATAGCATTGGTTACTATTACAGATATTACAAATTTATTAATAAATTAACTTGAAATCTAAAATTTTAGAAGTTTTCTTTGGGGTTTCTAAATAAAGGAATGCAAAAATGTTTAAATAAATTAGTTTAAGATAAGTAAAGCAGAACTTATTACAGATACATTAGTTAATTTAGAATCAATAAATAAAATAATTTTTGATTATTTTATTATTGAAGATCAGTTTTTTTAAACTTAACTAATAACCATTTAATCATCAAGTTTATAAATTAATAACCTTTTAGTAAAAAATAGTTAAATTGGATCTTAAATATTAGATTTAAGCTCATGTTAAGTTTTAGAGATAAATAATTTTAGCATAGTGCATTCTCTAATACTTAATAAATTATTAAGATTTAATTAAGTTAAGAAAGTTAAAATCTCAAATTTCAATTATTTAGCTCAATAGAAATAAAATGATTAAGGATATTTTAATCAAAATTAGAGTTTGCCATATTTATTTATAATATTAGATGTTGATCAATTCATTTTAGAAAATCTTGATATTGACTTTAATAATAATCAATATGGATTGTTAGTTGCAAAGGACCTAAGTTAGCTAATAATAGAAAAAGTAACATTAAAAAATGCATTTACTCTTAATGGAGGATGCTTTTAATTATAAAAATCAGACAAAGAAACAAAAATTACAATAAGAAGTAGCACTTTTTCAAATTTTACTAGTTTGTATTTTGGTGGCTGCATCTATGGTGGGTAAATATATTAAATTGAAAATGTTGAATTCAAATTTTGTTCTAGCTATATTGGTGGAGCACTATATATTTCAGATTAGTCTAATTTAAATGAAATTTAAAAAATTAATTTTTACAAAAATAAAGCTGCCTTATATGGCCCTAACTACAGTTTTTAGGTATAAAAAATACTTTTATATAAAATTTATGAATATAATCCTTAATTTCAAAATACAAACCTATTTTTAAAAGAAATAGATATTACACAATTTATTATATTCCTAACAAGAGGAATGAACTATATTATTGGTCTTTAATTCTTAATAAACAATTAATACTATCCATAAGACAATAAAAATGTTGAATCTTCTAATATGTATTACTTTTTAAACAAATAAAATGGGTTTTAGAGTGATACTATTTTAAGTATCCATTTCCCTTATCTATTTATTTTCTTAGACGCATATAATAAAATTGATTTTTAGTAAGTTGAACTTAAAATAATGGATTAAAATTATTAAATTGATATTATTAAAAATTTTTGTATATCAAATATTTGTCTAGACTCTCAAGAGAGAGTTGAGGTAAATTAAAAATAGGATATTTTTTTTTGCAAGTATTGCGAAATATCTTAAACCTTAAAAATGTATAAAGATTCTTAAAATAAACCCATAGGAAGATGCGAGATATGTAATAACTAATATTTTTCTTTTTGTTATGCTAATTACTCTTAAATAAGAGAAGGATACTGGAGAAAGTAATATTCTATAGAAAGTGAAGAGATAATACCATGCTCGATTTCTCCCAGTAGCTGTATCGGAGGTTCAGAATTAGAAAATAAATTATGCTACGAAGGACATATTGGGCCTCAGTGCTTGAATTGTGATATTAAAGGAGAATATTGGAATGATTCTTACTCTATGCAAAACTACTTTTAATGTACAAAGTGCAGTTCAGTTTAAAATAATACTTTGAAATTGTCTTTTGTGTTAGCACTGTTGATAGTGAGTTTAGGAATAATCTTATTAAGTAGTTTTAAAAGCATGAAAAATCATATATTAGCTTAGTACCTCTCAAAAATGAATATGTTTTACATTGGAAAAAGCCTCTATCTATAAAGTTTGCCTTCTGTTTATGTGAAGCTGTTGCTATTTAATTTTTAAATTTATCAGATTTCAAACGGCATAACTAGAATTGATATATTCAATTCTTTAAAGAATATATCTTTAATTTTTGTTGATCCTCTAAATTCTTAGATACTTTCAGTAAATTGCCTAATCATCTAGCTTTTCCCAAATATATCTAGTATAGGGTTTGCTAATACTACTCTTTATCTTTTATTACCTATCTTCTTATTCTTATTTGCTTTAATAATAATATTAATCATTACATACTTTAAAAAGAACTCAAACAAAAAGAGATAGTTTTATAGAGTATTGATATCTTTCTAATACATTTTCATTATTGTGTCTAATTCTTTATTGCTAAAATTATGCCTGGAAAGTTTTACTTGCTTGAACTTATACAAAGATGAATATTACTCTTTAATTGATTTAAGCTTAGAATGCTCCTCAAGTTCTTAGTTGAGTTAAATTCGCTAAATAAGTATCCCAGTTTTTATTTTAATTGTTATTTTAATTCCAATAACAATGTTTACTTTATTATTTTTTAGCAGAAATAAATTGAATTAAGTAAAAGTTACTTTTTTGTATGGATTTTTTTTCAAAGAGTATAAGGGAAAATTGTTTTACTGGGAATTTATCAGGCTTATAATTAAGGCATTACTAATCGCTTTAAGTGTTATATTTAAATAATACGCATTTGTTTCAGGAATAATACTCACTATTTGCCTCTTTATTTACTACTCTGCCATTTAGAAACTAAAACCTTTTCGATTAAAATTTTTAAACAAATTAGAAAAAATATCAATCACAATCTCCTTATTGATTTTATAAGCATCTTTGTTATTCCAATAATTTAATGATAATCAGAGCTAAAATATAATTCTTTTTATAAAAATCGTCTACATCATGTCCTAGACTTTAAGTATAGCATTTATTGTTGTACTTTTGTTTTTAACAACTATTTCTTTTTTATAAAAGTAAACTTTAAAAATATATTAAAAATTAAAATGGAGATTTTTATTAATCTTTATTCCTACAAGTCTGCTAAAGGTATAAAAAGTAAATGGTAACTTAAAAAAACTAAGAAAATGTGTTTAAATTATCATTTAAAACTAAATCAATATCAATGAAGATTCAATAGAGCTTATTGGAATAAAATATTGATTTATGTTCTTATAGATATACAAAAAACTTTATATATTAGTAGATTTTTAAATTTCAGACAAACAAAATTTTGAATGCAAAAAGAATTGTTTGAATAAAATGTGATTTAAAATGCTAATAAATTTTAAATAGTTTGTAAGGTAGAGTTAGATTATTTATGTTTCATATTAATATTTCATTAGATTTTAAATTTTCAATATAAGAACAATAAATTTTAGAATATTTAGAATTCAGATTTTTTCTTTTTATTAAAATTTAAATTTTATTTGATTTTTGATTTTTCACAAATATCATTTTAAAGGAATTTAATAAAATAAAAATCCTATTTTGATAACTAGGAAAACTTATTTAGGATTTATTTTTTAAATAGATTATTATTGAACAAAATAAAGAATTCTAACATAAATTTAAGAAATATTAATGTTTTAATTTATCACCACAACCTAAATATCAAGTTGAAATAATTATTTTAGTTTTTTTATTTAAAATTAATTAGGTTTGAAATAATTAGTTTCATATTTTTAAGTTGCTCAAAATAATAAATTTTTAAAGTATTTTTTAATTTTAAATAATTTATTTTTTAATAAAATTTATAGATGCTTTGATAAATTACTGGCAAATGTAACAAAATAAGGAAATCATTAACTAATATTTACATTATTGTTTTATTTAATTTATCCTTAAATCAAAATTTACATAAATTTAATGATCTAATATCTTCGAAGATAATGAATGATAGTTAATAATAAGATAGAATGATGTAATATATAAAATATATATGTATATGTTTTTATGATGGTATGAATTTTACTTACAATCAAATAAATATTTATTTATTAATATATTTATAGTTTTTATTTTTTATTGGATTTGTATAGTTTTATGTTTAATAAATATATTTTATTAATGTGAGTATGTATATATATATATATATTTCTGAGTGTATGTTTTCAGCAGTTTGTTAGCATTATATTATCAATTAAAGAACAAACTTATTTGCTTGCTTGTTTATTTTATAAATTAAGTTTAGGCAAATTAGTAGTTAATTTTAAACAGTAAAGGTGCATGATATTCTTTCATTTTAAAGCCCATATGTTGAGGGTATTATCACCTCTGTTACCAGAAGTAACCAAATGTATTTTGTTTTCTGTTTTGTAAGCTCCAACACCTCCAAATGGATAGCACTCATAGATATTTTTACTCTTTTAAGAAAGGACTGGAGCGTCTTTAGAAGCTTCCCAGACTTTCATCATACCATCAAAGCTAGATGTAACGAAAGAAATATTATTAATTTGTTCTACTTAAGCTTTAGTAAGTTTATTAGCTCTTATAGGTGATTAGAAGTTTTCAAGGATATTGCTTTATTATTTAGAAGAAGAACCGAAATTTCTTTTGGGTGAGCACATATTTTCATTATTTTCTTTCCAAGAATCTATAATAGGTTTTCTGTTTTCATTTATGATGTTAGCAAGATGGGGTCTTTCAAGTGTTATAATATTGAAAATCCAACCACTGTTATTTCTAAACAATTTCAAAGGTTTTCCTAAAACTGTATCCCAGATTTTAATATCACCATTAGCAGCACCACTAATTAAAATAGTATCATAGTTTATGCAAGCTTTCAAAGCAGTTACATCAGTGGTATGGGCATTATCTAAGCTGAGTTCCAAGGATAATTTTTCTATTTAAATTAAAGATTTTTATTAAATTCAATAAAAAATTGTAAAAATGTATAAGTTACCTAAAGCATTTTAACGGAAATTGTTATAGAAATTAAGTTTCCAGACCTTGATTGAGCGATCTTTACCTGCAGTAGCAACAAACTTTTGATTAGGGAAAAGCTCAAGGCAATATATGCTGTCTCTGTGCTCAAAGTATTTTTTTGGGTGAGTTATTTCACTGTTAAAAAGATTGAAAGATATAATCTTAGGATCAGTAGATACAGTAAGTACAGTTTGAGAGTCATTTAAACCTACAAGTTAATTGATTGAAGATTCGTGCTCACAGTTAACAATTTTAACAATAGAATAATCACTCAAGTTAACAACTGCAAAGCACTGGTAGAGACCAACTAATAGTAATTCGTTGCTACGAAGTGTTGAAAGGCAAGTTGCATCATATTGGAAAGGAATTTCTTTAACTTCAACGAAATTTTTATATATGCGTACAGATCTGTCACTGCTAGCTGTTACTATAGTTTCAGCATCAATGACTTTAATAGCAAATATACCTTTAGAGTGTTTAGTATTGACAGTCTGTAAATGATCTATAGTGGCGATCTTTTACTTGTCAGCTAACTTCACATTTTAAGATGAGAAACCAGAATTTTGATAATAAATAGCATCCTCATTGTTTACTTAGTTATTCACATCAGTGGGAACAACAGTTTAGTTTGTATAGAGATTGTTGAAATTTGTGAATGAGCTTAGTAAGACAACGTTTTACTTTTTATTACTGCTGCCAAAACATGCTTTGCAATTCTTTTTGCTAGGAGGTGATTACATACAAAAAGAGGAAGCAGTTAAGGTATTAGTATTAGTTAAGGTATTGTTAATACCCATAATACTTGTAGGAACATTACCAACATTACTAACACCATTGAATTATCCATTAGCTTATGCAGCTGGATTTGTTTGCAAGGCAACAAATTCGCTCAATCCTTCTAAGAAAGAAAAGTATTATCTGCGGTGTTCAGCTAAATATGCACGATAGATATTGTTGGCTTCTCCTTTATTACGATATAAGGGCTTGTAGGTAGTCATGCTCTAGAATTCACTAAATATATCCTTGAGATTTTTTTAGAATTTGTTTACTCCCTTATCACTTAATGAAGAAGATTATGAAGAGGAGTATTAAGTGTTGAAAAGTGAGCTACTAGTTAATGTATTAGATTAATGGCTCTTATCACCAACCAAATTGTTAGCTATGCTTGTTTCTGATCTGTTGGATTAGAAGTTACTTAGACCCAAAATATTTTTAGGAGGTTCCTATTATAATTACTTTAAAAAATATGTTAAAAATTAGTCTACTTATAAATGTGTAAATTTATAAGAAAATAAAATATTGCCTCATACAAAAAAATAGTTAAAAACTATAAAAAAAGTAGTCGTTAAAACAAAATTTAATTAATTTATTTTGATGGGAAATTGATTGATATGAATTACAAAATGAATAAATTTAGAATTCTAGAATTTTTTTTATTTATTTTGCACCATGAAATAAATTATAAAAATAAAATTGTAAAATTTTGGTGAAATTTTAATTAATTTATAAATTTATTGATAAATTAATTAATTGATTGAATAAGTAGAAATTATGTTTTTTTACCTTCAAGATGATGGGCTTTAAGTTAGTGATCAATCTTTTGAAATTTATAGTATTGTTCTTTTATGAAATCAGATTATTGAGAAAGACATCATATTCATTGTTGAGTTTATGATTAGAACTAGCTTCTTTGTTCAAGCTAGATGTTTACTCTCTAAGTTGATTGCACAATCCTTAATAAGTGTCTTAATGGGCTTTAAGTTTTTCTTTTAGTTTATTTCTAAGGTCATTTAAGTCATTTACTACATTTTCAATGAGCGAGTCAAAATCAGCATCTATTTTTTCTTCTTCTCTTCTAATATGAGTTTTATACTTAACCATATTCTATGTTTAAAAAAATTATTTTTTTTATTCTGATTATTTTATCTCAAAATATTTATAAGTAGAATATTTGATAAAAAATGATAATAAATAATTAAAAATAGCTCTTCTGCTAATTAATCTTCATAAATCCTAGTAGTAATTTGAGATTATTCTTAAAAATTTAATTTACTGAATCAAGCTCTGAAATGATGATATTAAAGCTCTTGTCTTGAGGAAGAGCATCGTGGTGATTGAGGGAATTCTCTTTACAAAGCTAAATAAAGTCTACATACCCAAAAATATACTCACGGTGATTTGAAATGTGGGATTGGTAGTCAAAGAAACACTCAGTACAGAGCAGAATATCTTATTCACATTATGGATGGAGACATACTTTCTCAATTGGTTTTTGATTGTGTTTGGCGCAGAAGAGTGAATGAGTATCTACTAATTACTTAGAAGAAAGCTATCCAAATGTTGTCTATATTAATGCGCTTGAAAGCTATGGGTTAAAGGGATTTACGTTAACACCACTACTAACATGAGCAGAAGCCCTCTTTGATTTTTTGGTTGATGATGAATTGAAGCTGCTTTGATGAGTTATCATTTTAGTATTTTGATAAAGCTCTTTTAGTCTTATTTATTATATTTTTTATAATTTATTTTTCTTAATTTTGATTATTTAGTTATGTGTAGATAGATAGTCGTTTTTAATTGATAATAACTTAATTAAAAACAATACAATTTGTTGGTTAGGTTTAGTTATGTATTTATTTGTTTATTTATTTAGTTCTTTGATTGTCTGATAAATTATTTACTAGTTTTAAAGAAATAAAAATTACTTATAAAATAAAATTGATATTTGCATTTAATTAATATAAAGAATTTTTTTTTGATAATAAAGAAATTTTAGTTGATTGATTTTATTTTTTGTATTGATTTATGAATGAAAAATAAATAATTAAGAATATAATTTATTAATAAGAAGATTTGATATGTTTTTAACAAAAAACTTAATTTATTTATTTATTTGTTAAACAAACAAATATATTCAATAATAATTATTAGATTTTAATAATAAAATTATTAAATGAGTGAAAAGACAGCAAACACATAAATTATAAAAACTATTATTATAGTAACAAAATATTATTTTTATATAATTTACTACTCCAATAATAAATAAAACAAATACCTAAATTATAATTAAAAAATGTAAAAAGTATCCTAATAGTTTTAAAAACCTAAGAAGAAGCATTTTTTCAAAACTATCTTATGCAATTATAAAAATCTTGTTTGTCCAGTAAATAACGAAATTTAATTAAATTCTGTTGCTAGTTCTGCTTTTTTTTTTCTGGTATACTTTTTTTCAAATGAAATAAATTTTAATAATTAACTAATTTAAAATTCTGAATGTTTTTTTTAATTCTAGTTATTGACATTCTAAATAAAAATGCATCAAATTATAAATGAGGTTCTTTGATCTAAGAATTATATGAAAAAATTTTTATTATAAATCTGTAAAAGAATATAGATACCAATTAATAGAAATCAAATAAATATAGATTTAAGTAATCAATAAAATAAATACTTTTAATGATTAAAACTAACTCGAAACTAAAAGTAAATCAGGATTTTTTAATAATAAAAACAAATAAAGCCCAATAAAATGTTTTGTTTCATTTTATGATGGATAAAATTTCCTTAGAATTTTATGAAATTTAATAAAATATAAGAGAAATTAGCTAGAATCAACTCTTAAAAAATATCAAAATAGAATATATAAACGCAAAATTATATAATAAGTTAGTTATGTAATAGTCTTTCTATGAGATATAGAGAAGATTGTTGTTATTGGTTGACTTCAGTAAGAATTGAGTCAAATCTATTTAGCTTATAGTTTATAATAATTATTTATATAATAATGAATCATCAACACTTTCTTAAGTTTATTTGAGTTAAAATCAACTTGGGATATGATAAATAACTAAATTTTTAGAAATAGGTAAGCTCTTTTTTGCAGCAAGTGATTATAAAAAATGAAATTTAATCATATAAATAAGACGCTAATTGTTGTTTGTATAAGTAATTTTCCAAATATGAAGTTATTTAAGAGAGAATTTTAATCAAAATTTAATTAAGAATAGTGTTTGTATTTAAGGAGGAACTCCCTCTCTAATAGATAAGGAGCTCTGATTTTAATGAAAATCAGCTAAATCATTTGCTGTATTTTCTGTTATTTCTATTGTTATTTCTGTTATTGTTATTATTTCTGTTATTGTTTCTATTTCTGTTTCCATTATTATTGTGAGAACCGTTATTTCTTCTATTTCTATCGAAATCTCTTCTTTTGTTGCCATTGTTACTGTTTCTATCTCTATCTCTTCTGCTGTTTATTTTTTTAAATTATATGTGATGAGCAATCAGTTTATGAATGCTTTTGTAATAAATTACCTATCTCTTCTGTTATCCTTATCCTTAAAGATTCTCTTCTTTTATACACCTTGGCTATTATGGCTATCGGAGTTTCTTCTTTCTCTTTCTCCACTGCTAGCATTGTTATTTTGTCTATCAGGGAGTTTGTCACCGTCCTTCATGAATTCAACTGTAATTATTCTACCTTCTAATTCGACACCTTAGAGTATTACAAAAAGAAAAGTTATTATTGAAGCTAATTAAATGAATTGTTTGCTTTTTGAGATTTAAATTATATAAGTTACCATTCAAGTCATCAATAGCACGCTTAGCAGCATCGTTATCTCTGTAAACAACATAACCCTTTTCTTCAGACTTTCCTTTCTTATCAGTTTCGATCTTTGATTACTCGATACTTCCATATTTGACAAAGAGGTTCTTATTTTATTTAGAACAAAGATAAACTTTTTGAAATAAGGCAGCTTAAAAATTTTACATAGAATTCTTCGTTGTTAATATTAGGAACTAAGTTGTAAACTTTGACGATTCTTTTTTTGTGTTCAGGAATAGGGCGAACAGTTTTGATCTTAGCAGGTCTAGATTCCTTAACAGGTCTGCTGATGCTCCTCTATTTGTTTGAATTATTTGAGGAGTTTTAACGAGGTTTCTAATAAAAATAATATTTTTTAAAATATTAATTAACCATTCATATAACATGAATAAATCTGTTTCTAAACTTCTAATTATTTCTATGTAATATTAATTATTGGTGATACACGCTAATTGCTTAACCAAATTTTTTCTAATTTAAATTAGTTTTCTTCTAGATTTAAACAAAAATAATGATTGATAATGATTTGATGTGATAAAGGATAGATAGATATGCCTTACTTCTTATTTAGAATTATACTAACGCATATTTATTTATAATATCTAGTTTGATAGGAAGTTAATACTTTATAGCTATTTATTTAATGGAAAATAAAATTTTAATGTTTACAGGAGAATATTTAACTAAATCTTAAGTATTTTATCAAATATAGATAGATTCAGCTTTATAGATATCTGATTTCATTAGTTATAATTCATTTTAATATCATAATTTATCTTTTGAATGTTAAATCCTAGAATTGATTTTATCATAAATTATTTTGCTTTAAATTTTTATGTTTGTTTTTTACATAACTCTGATCTTATTTGTGCTTATAAGATTTTTAAATAAAATAGCTATTTTTAATTTCTGTTTTCAAAAATTTATTATTTTTATGTCTAGATAAGTTGTTTTTACTTAAAATTTGAAAGATAATCTTGTCTTTACTAATTTCTTATGTGATCAGAAACTTTTGAACATATGAATGATAATATGAGAATAGTGCTAAGTATGAATGATAGGGTTTTATAGCTCAAAAAAATAGAAAGCCACAGATTATCAAAAAGGATTAACAAACATTTTTTATTTGAATTCTCGATTATCTTATTAAGAAAGAAACAATCGCAGGAGGTAGAAATTGAAATTTAGACTTTGTCCAAGTCTTTTAAAATAAAAATTGATAGAATTTAAAAAATTCATTCATTTAACATCACGACACCAATAACTCATTCTTTTTATAAAGTTTTTGCCCATACAAATAAATTATACGTCGTATAATATTAGGATTAGGCAATCACCATGCCTAATCAACAAACAATACTGTTTCTCTTAACCAAAGATAAAATTCAAATAAAATCAACTATTTAAAAGGGATTTTTATGGGGGATTTATGAGATTTGAGTGTGTGTGTTGGTGATTGTATAGTGGGGGAAAATGTGCCAATCTGGCAATTAAATTTAGGAAAAGTTCATTTTGGAATATTATTTTTTTCATGCACTTGGCTTTTTTATTTTGCTTTTTACTAATATAGTAAAGACTGTCTAGCAGAATCAAATCATTTTATTTCTGCTTTTAAGTATTAAAAGAATTTTTTTCTTTTGAAAAGGAATATTAATGAATGACCTAGACTGTTTTTACTCTCCTTATCAATCATCAATATCAATCATTAAACAGCATTTTTCTAAAAAAGGAAAACTTTTATTTAATACTAAGTATCCCCCTTTTTTTGAAAAATGATAGAAATAGAAGAATAACTAAACGATGAAAATATTTTTTCCTCCTCATGCCTTCTAATCTAGCTTGCCGATTTTAGCTCCTTAGATAGTTAGTAATTGTTTTGAATAGGCAAAATATCTTAATCGTTTTAGCAGATTTATTCATCGAGTAATTTAATTATTGTTTATTATAGAATATACCCCTCCAGAGCGATTGTTATCTTAGCGACCAGTACGACGGATAGCACCTTTGACAGATTTTACTCCGTTCAATTTCTTTTCAATTCTACCTTTTCCTCCTTTGCCGTTTTCCTTCTTTTTATTGCCACCTTCTTAGAATTTTTGCTTCTTAGCATAAGCATCTAAAGTGATTTCTTCCTTGTCAGCCATTTATATTAATTAACTTGCTTAATTATTTTTTGTTAGTTTTTTAATTTGTTTTGATTAAATTGTTTAAATTATCAATAATTAATTAATAATTTTTTCCCTTTCCCTCAATTTATAAGTAATTTATTATTAGGATATGACTCTAAATATTTTTTATTTAAATATCTATCCTGTTTCATAAATTAATAAAGAATTTGAAATATTTCAATTTCTTATCTTCACTTTTTTTTAAATATATATTGACTATCAATCTATCAATATGACTATATATCTATTTTGGATGCCATCTTCCATTTATTTAATACAATTTTTATTTTTCAAAATAAATTTACATATAGGAGGGAAAAATAAGCAAATCAATAAATAAATATACAAGTAGATGCTCAAATTTTCATTTAAGCTTTAAAAGATATAAAATTTATTATAATGATAATATGAAAACTTGTAGAGTTAAAATAAAAATCATTAAAATTTATTTCTCCACTGATGATTAAAAAATGCAAAAAATGTTAACAATTTAATTCTTTAAAAATGTAAAAACAGTTTGAGGATATTCATCATTTCTAAGAATAATATTTGTTTTTTATAGCTTTTATAATAAGAAGTTTATCATCTCAATTAATTTTTTTAATTGTAAGATTTTGTCTAGTTTAAATATATGTAAAACACCTTTGAATTCATTTAAAGAAATTTATTAATTCTTTATGTTTCCCAAATTAAGCTTTTTGCAAAGTGAAATCAAAACTTATTAAAAAAATAAAAAAACAAAAGAAGTAATAAATTTTCTTTTCTATCTATCTATAACTTTCATAACTTAGCTTCTTAACAAAATTTATATAATTTAATTTAAATCCAAAATATTCAAATTAAAAAATAAAAAGGGAAATTATTAATTGATTTCTATCAAAAATGAAAGAGAAAATTTTTATTTTTAAGATTAAGTTTTTGAAGCGCTGAAAATGGAATACGAATTCCACGAATACTAACTACCATGTTTTTAACATTTCAGAAATCTTAAAATATTAAATGATTATTTTTCTATGATATAATGAAATTAAATTCCTATGAAATAACAAGAGCGCCTTAGGCTTCAACTAGTGTGATAAGGAGATGGTGGAAAAGTTTTTAAGGAAAATGAGTTTTTTATCCGAGGAAAATCAAGATGTACGTAATGCCTATTTTGCCCCAACACCATACCTCTGGACACATTTGATGAAGCTAAGGAATCAAAAAAGGCTCTTTTTTTCCTGATATGTTAAAAAAAAAAACATACAGTTTTTTTAAATTGTTTTGTCGAAATGAAATTTTCTTTCCCAAACCAAAGAGTGACAGTGGTTTTTTCCTTTATAAAAATTATAGTAGTATTTTTTTTTAGGCAGAGAGAGCACAACAGAAGACCATACTTTTGAAGAAAAAAGAAAAAAGATAAAGATAAAAAAGAAAAAATTAAAAAAGAAAAATTAAAAATTAAAAATTAAAAAGTGAAGAAAATAATCCTTAAAAAAATTATACAAAAAGAAATAATAAATTAAAAAGAGATATAAAAAATTAAATTATGAAAAAATAGCAAAAAGTAAAAAAATAAAAATAAACTTTAAAGATAATTAACCATATTAATAGAATAAATATAATTGATAAAATAATATAGATACATACACAACTCTGAACTTTTAAAATAAAAAATTATTTCTTTCAATTTGAAATTATTTATTTTCTTTTATTTTAAAATAAAATTTGTTAATTTATTTTTCCAAAAAATAATAAAATTAATAAAAGAAAAAAGAATAATTTGTTTTTCAATATTATTATAAAAATTTAAAACAAGAAACTCAAAAGTAAATTAATAAGTAATTTATGATAAAAATTATATTTTAAAAGCAATACACTATACAGTAATATTCTATTTATCTCTTTATATTACATATATTTTTATTTTGTAATATTATTACAAATTCATTCTCCATTTAATAATTTTAATATATCAGGAACAATATCTACAGGATTTTATTTATGTTCATAATATTAAACTGGTTTTCCCTCAGCATTAACTAAAAATTTAGCGAAATTCCATTAAATATAGCCTTAAAATCCAGGAGTATTATTTGCTAAATACTTATATAAGTCATGTCTTTTTTCTCCATTAACATAAATCTTTTTAAACATAGGAAAATCAACATTATATTCTTTTTTTACAAATTCTTTAATTGCAGGTTCATCAAATGGCTCTTAATTAAAAAATTAATTAGAAGGAAATGCCAAAATTTCTAAGCCTTTATCACTGACATAATAAAATAATTTTTAAACTTTTTATACTCTGAATAGAAAATATTTTACCTATAGTTTTTATATATCTCATATAGCTGTTTATAATTTGTTGAAGTAAATCCACACTTACTAGCTACATTTACTATTAAATATGCTTTTTTACCCTTAAATTTACTAAGTTGACACTCATTTCCATCAATGTCTATTGCTCTGACATCAAATATGGATGCAATATTTATATTATCAGCCATCTTTATTGAACAATTAAATTTTAGTAATCTAATAATACTTGTAAATAATTTTCAATATCCTAAATTAATTTTTAGTTAAATTTTATAATTGATTGATAACAAATTTCTTATCTATTATATGTCTAATTGAAAAAACTTGTATCTTCTCCTGATGTTAAACAGATAAGAAATTAATTATTGTTTTTACATATAAATCATAAAACTAAATATATTTATTATTGATCTCAAATTTATTTATTAAAATTTTGAAACTAAAGTAGAATTCCATAAAATATGAATGAATAATTTTATTTTTTGTATTAATCAAACTTACTTTTACAATTTATTTAAAATTTATCCTCAAATAATAGTAGAAATTAAATATTTTAAATATTTTTTTAAAATAAGAAAACTAATCTTGAATACATTAAATTTGATTTATATTTTATTTTAATGGCTATCAATTTTCTTTATTTTTAAGCAATTATCAAAGATTAAAAAAATATTAAATTAATTTATCTTTTAAATGATATGTATTTCAAAAAAATTAAAATTTTAAAATTAATATTTTCTTCTTAAAAATATTGCTCTAATTTAAATATAAAATGATACGATCAATTACAAATTATTGAAGTAATTTAAAAGCAAAAATAAATTAGACAATTTTATATTTTAAACAATATTTTGTTCTAAATTATCAAAACATAGAACTAATTTCTATGTTTAATAATAGAATAGAAAAAGAATTAAAAATAAAATATTAATCAATCAATCGAATATTTTATTTGCAGACATTATGAGTTTTGTTAATCAGTATTCTGAATATAAATTATTAAACCTATGCAATCAAACAAACAACATAAAATAAATAACAAAAGTTATTAACTAATGCAATAAGAGAATCACAAAATTATGTAATAATTTAGACTTATTTTATATAATATTGAAAATTTTTAAAATAAACCAAAAATTTAGAAAAAAAGAATTTACTAATTTACAACAATAGCAAGATTAAAAACTCCATTTAAGGATAAAGTAGTTATTTAAATAAAAATGTATATCTGCCAATGGATATGCCCAAGGCTATTTATGCTAGTTCCAGTTGCATTTACTATAGAAATAATTAGTTTATTTAGATCTGGAGAATATAAAGAGTGTCTCATAATTTTTTTAGCTATGATGAATTACAATTTTTTATTTGTAGTTATTTTGATGAGGTTTTTTACAAGCATGAACTTTGAAAATCTAATGAGATTAAGAATAAAGATGTACATCATTCTAGCAATTATAATATTTAACATGATAACTATTTCTTATGTAATTACTTTAAATTTTTATGCTGTATTACTATTATTTTTTGGAGATTCGCTATTTAATGATTTCTGTAAGCTAAATTGTATGAGTGATCCTAAAGCAGCTAAGCATGTTATATTATTTAATATTATTTTTCTACTTTCAGATGTGACTTGGGTTTTAAGGGCAGAAATATTCTTCTTAAAGCAATATGAAATGTATATACATCCAGTAAAATATTTTTTATCCTATTTATTTAAATCACTTAATATTTAAAATAAGTTTGATTATTCTTTGAAAGACAAAAACTAATTTATTTTACTTTATATTATGTAAATAGGAAAGGTATTAATTCGAATAAATGTACTATGAAATGTAGAATATTGAAATAGAAAGACCTTCTCTAGATAGTTAAGATTATGATTCCAAAATATCTTTGAGGGAAACTACTTGCTAAATTTGTCTAGAAGAGATATAGAAAAATGATAAAGTTATCAAGTTAAAATGTACCCACAGTTTTCATAGTGCTTGTATAAGAGATTGGATCAAAATAAGAGTAACCTGTCCTTCATGCCGTAGATCAATATAGTCAAATAAATTAATTATATAAGATAGTGATTAATAGGAATAATTATAATAGCAAGCTTAATAATAAATCTAGCGAAATGGTGAATAAAATCTATTATAATAATAGCAAATTTAATAAAATGTTAATTAAAATCTTTAAATTTCTTAAAATTAAATGATTGCTCCATAAATGGTTTATTAAGCAGTACATAATTAATCGTAGTCAAATAATTATAATTAAATTAATGGCTAAATGGGACAATAAAATTTAATTAATTAAAATAACTAATAGTAGAGATAAATAAATATCTAACACAATGACAACAGCTCTTTGATTAACTAATAAAATAATAATACTGAATAAATACTAAATCATCTAAATTTAGAATAACCTCTTTTATGATTAATAATAAATAAATTAAAAAAATTTATTAATATTAAAATAGATTAATCAATTAACTATATAATTTCTAGATATTTAAAAATGAAACTTTCAAAATTGAAAATTTATAGAATAGAATAGAAAATTATAATATAAGATAAAGACCATTAAAAGCCAACAATTTTGATATTAAAAATAAATAAATAAATAATTTTTTCATTAATTTCAATTATAATAATTTAAACCAGTTACTTAAAGTTCAAAATAAAATTGCATAATTATAAAAAAATTTATAATTTAATTAAATTTGTATTATTTTCATAACTTTCAGTAGGTAAAAATATTAAATTTAATTTAAAATATTTATTTCTGTTTTATAAATATATTAAATAAAAAAGTGATTTATTAAAATTTATTATTAATTATTACCCCTTTAGAGTTATTTTTTATAATTTTATGTTCATAAAAAATGTAAGGTAAATTTTTTAAATATATCTAAGATTATTATATTGCTAAGCTTTCTTACTTCATTTAAAAAATGATAATTATATAATTGCATATATATTTATTATACCCAATCTAAATGTATATATAATGCATGGTAAATTTTTAAAATAATTAAAGTTGTTGTTAGAAAATATTATTTAATAAAATTAATTTTATAAAAATCTTAAAAACAACATTTAAATAAACAAAATAAAATTAAAATAAACAAAAATTAACATAAATTTGATTATTTTCAAAAGAATATAAGATTCATTCCCAAATATAATTCAAATTTTTTTATTTTCAATTTCAATTTCAGAAACACAATCATCTACTTTCATGTATTAGAAGTAGCATTCGATAGGTTTTTCTTCTTTATTGCATGATTCTTATAAGCTTAACTTAATAGAATTGCAATATTCATCATTGTCAAATACATATTCTTTATAAATAATTAGACTTACACAGTCATTGACACTCATGTAATTAACTAAACATTAGCTATCTTCACTACCTTAGCATTCTTTTTCTCCATCAATTTTAACTGAATCGCAATATTTATCAGAATCAAGTACTTATTCATACTCTGCAATTTTATCACAATGATTTTCACTCATAAGTTTTAGTAAACAAGGATAAATTTGGTTAGGAGAAGTTTTCTTGCATTCCTCACTAAATTTAGTTTTCAAAGTATTGCATTATTCATTTTCAAGAATTTATTAGAGATAAGTGTAGTTGTATGGTGACTAAGCAAACACAACAGCGAAAATGCAGAAGATAATTGCAAAATTTTTAAAGGCCATTTTTTAGAAGAAATTATAGGTTTTTATTTTTTTAATTATTTCAATTTTTATTTCAATTTTGATCTCTATTCAGAGTATTTAAAGTCAATATAAAAGTAAAATTAAACATAAAAAAAAAAGTAAATTTACAGTAATCTCATCCCTCATTAACTATTATCAAATAAATGAAGTTTTGTTCATAAATTTAATTAAAATTGACCAAATTCAAGCAATATTAGAAGTAAATAGATATATTTATTTATACTTGATTTATACTCAAAAATTTGTTTAGAACTTTAAGTTTGAAGGAGTAAGATTTGGTTCTAGTTTTTGCTATTTTATTTTTGGTTCTATAGATTTAAAGATATTTCATCATTTTATTTTTATGATGGATTTTAATATTTTTAGTTGTTCATTACTTATTTAGCTAAAAAAGCAAAGATTATTTAAACATTTTATATTTTGTCCTACTTTATTTAATGCGGTTCAATTTACATAATTATTTTTAACATAAAGAGTAAATTTTATATGTAATATGTGGAGATAGATAATAGTTAATTTATATAAAATGTTATAGAATACAAATATGAATTTATGTAAATAAATTACAATAATTTAAAAAAATCTTATCACAGTAATGTAAACATATTAAATTTATTAAAGTATTGTTTTTTAATACATCAAAAATCATAAAATTAGTAATATAGTTAAAATAATTGTAAATAAGCCTTGTGTAAGGAGAGAGCTTAGCATTGTTTATTGAAGAGTTTGCTTGATAGAAAGCTAAGAGAAATCAGCAGATTAAATAAATTCGAATTTATTGTTAGAGCTTTCCTTCAAGAAATGTGAATTCATTTTAGAAGGATCTTCTACTATTTCAGCAAGAATTTAGAGGTGAGCTGACTCAACATTGCTTGGAATAGAAAGTAAAAATATTGATTATTGTTTAGTCTACTTGATAATTTTAGATGACGAAGTAAGATCTAATACTTCATTTAAATTTGATAACATATTAATAGACTTTTTCTAGATGTATCTAGAATCAGAAGAATCGACAAATTTCATTGTGATATATACATTTTCTCCTGGATAGAATGTCATATTTTTTCTAGGAATCTAACAAGTCTCATCTTAGCAAATATAAGAAGTTGTATCCAAATCAGTTACAATAAAACATTCTGGAGAATAGAAATTGTCAACACCACATTTCTGCTCTTATTGAGTAGAGAAATCAGTGATGATTGGCAAGTTGATATTACGTGCAGACTTTTCGTTAGTAAGTAGGATTTATTATAATTGTGAATTATAGTGAATTTAGAAATAATTATTATAATGAATAAGAGAAGAGGAACTTCCATTAGGAATAGCAGCAATTCTAAATTGTAGTTGAGTATATTCAGAAATATCTTTGAGTCCAAAAATCTTGTTGATCATCTAAACAGGAATATGGATTTTTGACTTGAAATCTTTTTCTGATGAGATGTATGAATTGTTTAGATCTACCCAAGTATTATTGCTATATACTTGAATTGAGAAAAAGATATAAGGAGAGCATGTTTATGGAATAAGAGAGTGCTTATAGTCTAATAAGCAATTAACTACAATATTCTTTGAAACTTTGTTTGTATCTGAATCTAAGAGAGTAATTATGTTAACTGAATTTAACTAGCTAGAGAGTATACCTTGGCATTCAGTAGTAGGTAATCTTCCTTATTAGCATGATTTAGTTTCATAAGAATAAATAAATCCTTCTTTGCAAACACATTAATTTAATTCTTGAGAGAAGAAAGCATTTTCTATACATATATTGCATTATTCTGCTTTTTCTCCAGAGCATGATTTACAAGCTTATGAGCAGTTATAGCAACGCTTAAGGAATTCAAATGTTCCTATAGGGCATACACATTATTTACTTTATTAGTCAAAATGAGCACCTTCATAGCATGATAAGCATTCATTTTAATGAGGACCACTACATGTTAAGCAGCTTGAGTGGCATTTAGCTACAATAGATATTGGATTACTATTTTCTTTGTTAAGGAAAGTACTACTTTCTTTAGGAGTAAAAAGGAAGAGGCCACTTCCTAATTAGCAACCTCCATTACCATTAGATACATATCCTGTAGAACATTAAGTACATGTTGTAGAACTAGAGCATTATAAGCAGTTAGAAATTGTATTGCAAGAGGTACATTAATTGGTTTAAGTATTTCTATAATATCCTTGAGCACATAAACACTAACCAGCAACTAGATTTGAATTTGCTGGGCAGGTATTACAAGCTTTGGTACCAGATCCGGAACAAGTTGAACAGGAACTATCGCACTGAGCACATGTTTTACCATCTGAAGAAAGATAATATCCTGCATTACAAACACAAGTTCCTTAAGAAGTTAATGAAGCATTAGCCCAGCAGGCAATACAATTAGTTGCTAAAGTACCTGTGCACTAACTGCAAGAAGCCTAACATGGTTAGCAGAAATTATAGAGACATTATATGTAATAATAACCTGGTAAACATCCACAAGTACCAGTCAATGAACCAGGAGAATTAGGGAAGAAATACATATTTATTGATGGAGCAGAGTTGCAAGTTAAGCATTAATTGGCTTATGGTCCATTACAACTGTAGCAGTTAGCATTACATGGCGAACAATTTAGAGAAGTAGAAGAGCTACGATAATAATATGGTGCACAATTGCAAGTAGATTAAGTCACACCATTTACAGTTGTTGTAGTAAGCGTATTATATGTACCACATGAAGAGCAATTATTAGGTCCAGGGCCAGTACATGTTTTGCATGTTGGATCACAAGGAGTGCATTAGCCACCTTAGTTAGGATTAGCATAAAATCCTGTTGCACAAACGCATGTTCCAGGAACTTTACTACTCATAACCATATTTGCTATACAAGTAGTACATCCATTAGCACTACCATTTGTACATTTATTGCAATACCATGCACAAGGATTGCAAGAATTAGTTGAAGAATTATAGTAGTAGCCTTGATTACATTAGCATTATTGAGTAGTTTATCCTAATGAAGTAACTAAACTTGCATTAGGAATACATGAGTTACATTAGCTAGTAGCAGAAGTACAAGTATTGCAATAAGCTGCACATTGACTGCAACTTCCATTTGATGTCTAAAACATAGTAGGTTTACAAGTACAGGTTCCAGAAACAGGTACTTTATTTGTATCTGAGCATGTTAGACAATTGTTTGAATTAGGACCGTTGCAAGTTAAACAACTTGGATTGCAAGGTAAACAATTTTATGGATTTTTAGGATCTTGATAGAAATTACTTGGACATACACAAGTATTTGTAGAGGTATTTAAAACCTATGGAGAATAGCAATTAGTACATTAATTACTAGCATTTCCAGTACATTCCAAGCAGTTTGAATAGCAAGGTGAGCAGGAATTAGAATTAGTATCCCAGAAATATCCATTATTACAAATACAAGAATTTCCTTTCAAACTAGAATTAGCTGGGCAGCTAGTACAAGTTGTGCTAGTATTTTAGCATGTTAAGCATTATGGGCTGCATTGATCACATAAGTAAGTTTGCAATGCATCATTATAGTATCCAACATTGCATTTACAAGTACCATCTGATTATAAAGTTGCATTATCATAGCATTATGTGCACTAATTACTATTAGCACCTGAACATTGTAAACAATTCTAATTACATTATACACAAGTATTTGAGATAGAGTCTTTATAATAGTGAGAATTACAAACACATTAACCATTTTTATCAACATTTGCATTTGGGTCTACACAAACTACACAACTGGTTCCATTATTACATTAAGAGCAAGAAGAATCGCAGGCAATACATTTTAGTTAGACTAAATCCCAATAGTAAGAAGTCTTACAAATACATTAGGATCCAGATAATTAGGCTCCTTAATAGCAAGAAAGACAATTATTATTTTATCCTCCAGAACAAGAGTTGCAAGTTATATCACAAGGTTAACATTCATCTTGCTCGTTTAAATTTCTAAAGTAGTGAGAATTACAAGGACAGCTTTATGAAACAGGGTCATATGTGGCATTACTTTAACAGCTAAGACATTGATTGTTAAGAGGGCCAAAGCATGTTTTGCATTCAGGATCACACAATTAGCACATGTAGTTTTCATCCATATACATTCCGTCAGGGCATGTACAAACTCCATTTACAGTAGTGGCTTGAATAGCTATGCAAGTGATACAATTATTATTACCACTTCCATTGCAAGTTTAACAGCTCGCATGACACTTTTAACAGAGCTAAGATTGATTTGCAGGGTCAGGATAATAGTAATATTCGTTGCAATCACATGTCTATTAGCCATTTACATTTAAACTGGCATTATCATAGCAAGATAAACAATTATTGTTATTTGGACCATTACATGTCTTGCATTAGCTACCACAAGGTACACATTAATTTGTGCTCACATTCAAATAGAAATTGCTATTACATGTGCAAAGACTTTATCCTGCTAACTAAACTGAGTTGGCTATACAAGTATCACATTCTCCTGCAAACGAACATGTTGAACATGAAACACTGCATTATTAGCAAGTAGCTGGAGCTGAAGGATCTCTATAGGTACCAGAATTGCAAACGCAGCTATTATTAGATGTATTTAAGGTAGAATCTGAATAACAGCTAGTACATTATTTTGAATCATTGACACAAGTTAAGCAAGAACCGTCGCACTGGCTACACTAATTAAGTCCTGAATTCCAATAGTATCCTTAATTGCATTAACAAGTATTATTAGATAATAATGTAGCATTTGGCTTACAACTTGTACAATTTACTGAGTTCTAACTGCAAGTTAAGCAATTGGTGTTGCAACTATCACATGAGTTATCTTGGGTATTGAAAAAATATCCAATATTACACTAGCATGTTCCATTTGACAATAATGTTGCATTAGGCTTACAAGTAATACAATTATTATTTGCAGAACCGTTACAATCCAAGCAAGTTGGATCACAAGATTAGCATTAAGCATTTTGAATAGTATCATCAGCTAAACGGAAATAAGAAGTATTACAAACACACTAGTTGTTTGAATTCAGGGTTGCATTACTATAGCATGATAAGCAAGAAGATGAACTTCCATCAAAGCAAGATTTACAACTTGGATCACATGGTTAAGGGGGATTATTTTGGCAATCTTGTTAACAGTAATATCCTGGTTGTACTTTACATGTTCCATCTGATTACAAAACAAAAAGAGGCTAGCATTATGTGCATGTTTATGGATTAAGGCAAGCTACACAGTGATCATTAGGACATTAAGAGCATACTAGCATAGGTGAAGTTTATGAAGGGTAAAAACCAGTATTACATGTACAAATATTTTGTGAATTTACTACTTAATATGAAGAATTGTCTGCACATGGATTACAATCTGTATAGTTTGGTCCATTACACTATTTGCAAGTAGAATTACAGATAGAGCACTATTAAGTAGGCGAATTTTGAGAAATGTAGTATCTATCTTGACATACGCATGTATTTTCATTAGGGATAGAGGAGTTTTATATCAACTAATTAGCATAGCATGATAAACAATTAGTTGATGTTAAAGTACAAGTTTAACAAGTACTATTACAAGGAGCACAATTACCAGATCCATCTTGTAGCATATAGAATCCATTATTACAGGTACATGAACCGTTACTATTTAGTGTAGCATTAGCTTTGCATGAAGTGCATTGGTTAGGTCCATTTCCTAAAATACAATTTTAACATGTGGAGTTACATAATTAACAATCACCATTCAAGTCCATGTAGTATCCACTATTGCAGACACAAGAATAAGGTGAAGCAGGAGAAGTACTTGCATTATTTTTACAAGTTAAACAGTTAGTATTTGAAGAGCCACTACAATTTAAGCATGTTTTGTCACATTAACTACACAACCAATTTTGATCAAAGAAATAATGTGTTTAACAATTGCATATATTTCTGCCACCTTCAGGAGGATAAGCATTAACTGTGCAAGATGTGCAATCAGTTGCTAAAGGTCCTAAGCAAGTTACACAAGAAGGTAAGCATTTTTAGCAAACAAAATTATTATCCATATAATATCCATTATTGCAAACGCATTATCCATTTGTCAGAGTTGCATTTGGTTTACAAGATTGGCAACTCTAATTGCTTCCACCATTACAAGTTGCACAGCTAGGATCGCATTATTAGCAAGTTCCAGTACTATCCATATAATATCCATTCATACAAGTACATGTTCCATTGTTTAGTGGATTTGTATTTGATTTACATGCAGTACAGTTGCTGTTAAGACCTCCAGAACAAGCTAAACAAGTTTAATCACAAGGCAAGCAATAATCTCCTGAACCATAATTTGGATAAAAACCTTAGTTGCATATACATTCATTTAAACTATTCAATGTAGAATTTTTAGGACAGGCTGAGCAGCTAGTAATTGAACCGCTAGTACATTCAGAGCAACTTTTATCACATGGTTTACAATATTTTGGATCAGAATGATCTCTGTAAGTGTCAGTTAAGCATTAACAAGAGTTATTGCTTAAAGTAGAATCTGAATAGCAACTGGTACAATTATTGGAACTACCAGAGCATGTTTTACATTCAGGATTACATTATTAACAAACATTATTACTATTCATAAAGTAACCATCATTGCATTTGCAAGTGTTATTACTTTATAAAGTAGCATTTGCTGTACAAGTGAGACAGTAAGTAGATGAGCTTTTACAAGTAACACAGTTACTATTACAAGGAGAGCAAGTGAAAGGATTACTATTAGAAAGATAAAATCCATTATTGCAGACACACTGATTGCTGTTATTTAACGAAGCATTAGGCCAGCAGCTAGTGCATGTTGTTGAATTATTTGAACAATTTAAGCAATTTGGATCACAAATTTGGCAATTCATTTAAGTATTACATCCTGAAGCATAATAATGAGAATTGCATTAGCAAGTTCCATTACTTTATAATGTTGCATTACTATAGCATGCTGTGCAAGCATTACTAGCATTTGATTGATTACATTAGCTACAAGTTGGGCTACAAGGTTTACAGTTTCCAGTTTAAATGTCCTAATAATATCCAATTCCGCATAGACATGCAGAGTTAGATGAGGAGGTAGATTATAGAGTGGCATTTGGTTTGCATGAAGTACATTAATTTGCACTATTACTGCAAGAATTACAAGTGTTACTACATTAGCTGCATGTAAACGATGTATTACTTTAAGGATTAAAATATCCTGTATTGCAAACACAAACATTAGATGAGTTCAATGAAGCATTTTGTGTACAAGTTAAACATTTGTTTGCATTATTAGTGCAAGTAACACAATTGATGGAGCAGGGTAAGCATTATTTTGTTGTAGGATCTTAATAAAATCCACTATTACAAACGCATACTCCTTTAACAAGTGTAGCATTACTGAAGCAGCTTGAACAACTATTGTTGCAAGGGCCAACACAAGTCTAACAAGATAGATCGCATTTTCCACATGTAAGTTCAGGATTAGTTGACTTTGTATAATATCCTTATTTACAAGCACATTATGAGCTTGAATTTACTATAGCATTAGAATCATAGCAGCTAATGCATTTAGTGCTAGTATCTTAACAATTTAAACAGTTGTTATTGCAAGGTTAACAATCAAAGAAAGGTTCTGAATTAGGAGAGTAATATCTATTTTTACACTAGCAAGTGTTATTAACTAAAATAGCATTTGTAATACAACTTGTGCAGCTTGATGCTGTATTTAAACAAGTATTACAATTACTATTACATTACAAGCATAGTTAATTCTAAAGAGGGTTTGGGAAATAACCTTTGTTGCATACACATTTTGCACTGGCAAGGTATTAGTTGCTATAACAATCTATGCAATTAGTTGCAGATGAATCACAATCAGCACATTAAATACTGCAGGTTTAGCAACTATTTGTAGAGCTGTTATAGTAATATCCATAATTGCAAACACATTAGTTATTCACTAGACTTGCATTACTTTTGCATGAAAGACATTGATTTGGCTAAGACCCTAAGCATGATTAGCAACTGGGATGACAAGCAGAACAAAGGTAAGGAGAGAATGATTATAAAAAGAACCCTGTTTAACATTAACAGGTTCCATTAGATTATAAAACTGCATTTTATTTACAACTTAAACAATTTTAGTAAGAAGAACCAAAGCAAGTGTTGCAAGTTTAATCACATTCTACACAACAATTTGAACCACTAAGGGGATTTCTGATATATCCTGGAATACAAACACAAGAATTGTTAATTATTTGCTAGTTACAAAAGCAACTTGTGCAAGTATTAGCATTACCATTACATGTTTTACAATTACTATTGCAAGGTAAGCATTAAAGAGGGCCATTTGCAGGACCTGCATTGTAGAAACCATCTTAACAAGTACAGTTTCCTGTCACTGTTATATAAGCGTTTGCAACACATTTAGTGCATTAATTTGCTCCACTTCCAGCACATTAGAGGCATTATGGATTACATTAAATACAGTTAAAGATAGGAGTACTTAAATCAACAATGTATCCTTGTGGACAAATACATTTTTTAGAGGATTAATCTATAAGTCCAACGCCATTACAGCTGGTACAAATTTAAGCATGTCCTTAGGCACATGTTTTGCAGTTTGGACTACACAAAGAACAACTTTTTTAATTACAATTAAGAGTTGTTCCATCATTACATAAGCATGAATTATTAACTAAAGTAAATGAATCGCTAACGCATGAAAGACATCCATTTGAAGTACCATCTTGGCAAGTTGCGCATGAAGGATAGCAAGGTAAGCAAGAAGAATCATCACTTTAGTAATAATTAGAAGGACATTAGCATACTCCCCCTACTATAATTTAGTTGGCATAATTGCACGAAGTACAATTATTAGCACTTGATTTGCATGTTCTACAATTTTAACTGCAAGGTAAACATACTGATAAGTTAATTCCATCTGAATACATACCAGCTTAGCATTTACATTATCCTAAAGGTGTTTATGTTGCTGCATCACATGAACTCTTTACAAAATCAAAATTACTAGAGCATGATGTACATGAGTAACTGCTATTATTATTGAGACAGTTTTAGCAAGAGGGATGACAAGCCTAACATTACAAAATATCTGTACAAGATTTAACAGGGAAATATCCGTTGCTGCACTTGCAAGTATTATTAGCTAAATAAGCATTTGCAGTGCAATCAGTGCAAATACTTTTATCAACATAACTGCATCTTAAACAGTTAAAATCACACTTCTCACACTAACCATTAGTAGGGTTGAAAGTATAACCATCTAAGCATACACAACTTCCATTAACTAATTTAGAATTTGCTACACATTTAATACATGTATTTGAATCTCCAGAGCACTCCAAACAATTAATATTGCACTGCTCACATTAATTTTGATTATCTGAATTCCTAAAATATCCCTATTAGCAAACACAAGAACCATTTACTAAGTTAGCATTATCAAAGCACTCTGTACATTTGTTTGAACAACTGCCTGTGCAATTTTTGCAAGTGTCATTACATAAGGAACATGCAAGTGGGTAGGCTTGAGAAACATAACTACCAAAATTACAAACACAATATCCATCAATAGGAGAAGCATTATTTACACAAGTTAAACACTCATTTATTTCTCCTCCAGTACATGTAGCACAGTTCATATGGCATTTCAAACACTTACCAGTTTAGTCTAGATACCATCCTGAAGAAATATTGCAATAGCATATTCCGTTTCCATCAAAAACATAGTTTGGCTAGCAACTTATACAATTATTTGGATTAGGTCCATTGCATTAAAGGCAGCTAGGGTCGCAAGTAATACACTAAGTAAATGAGCTGTTTTAATCAATTGAACTTCCTGCTGGGCAAATACAAGAAGCATTTTAAAGGATGAGAGACCCTTTACAAGAAGTACATTTCTTAGGACCAGGACCACTGCATTCATAGCAACTTGCATCACAATTTTAAATATCACCAGAAGGATTAATAAATTTACCTGGTTTAGGAACACATTTTACTCCAACTAAAACAGTATCAGGGTTAGAACAAGATAAACAGGTATCAGGACAGTCAGGTTAGCATGTAGCACAAAATTTAGGGCATGAGAGGCATACTCTTTTGTTAGCATCAAAGTACATTCCACTCTAACACTAACAAAGTAACCCATTTCTAATCATATTTGGAAGACAAGTATCACAATTAGTTGGGCCAGATTGGCTGCAAGAACCACAAGTAGGATCACATGGTGCACAAACAAAAGGATTAAGAGAAGCTGCATAGAAATATTGTATACATTAACAAGTTCCAATACCGTTGCTTATATTACTAAGTATAGCAGTTGTTCTACAATTAGTACATTAGTTAGAACTACCTCCAACACATTTTTGGCAAGTTGGATCACATTTTTGGCAAGAAGCAAGTAAAGTACCTTGGTAGTTAGCATAATAACCATCAATGCATTAACAAGATCCATTTGATATGTATGCCTTAGGAACACAACTGGTGCAAATATTTTATGAAGAACAGGTTGCACAATTACCATTACAAGGCAAGCAGTTAATAGGATTATTAGGATCAGGATAAAATCCAGGTGAACAAACACATTAACCGCTTATCAATTAAGAATTTTAAAAGCAAGAATCACAGGTAAATAATGATGAGCAAGTTTTGCAACTTGGTTAACAAATCATACAACGAAGAGGATTTGATTGAACTGCAAAATAACCACTTATGCAAGAACATAATTGATTTCCATAATTATCAATAGCTGTAGCTAGAGATGCATTTGGAGGGCAAGAAGTACATTAATTCATGTTAGTTTTATTGCATTCTAAGCAAGTTTAATTACATTTTCCGCATGTGAATTAAGTTTAGCTTATTAAACTATAGCCTGGAAGACACTAACACATTCCTGTACTAGTTGAAGGATTAACATTAACAAGTTATCCAGTGCAATAGCATGAAAGGCAATCACTCAGTCCATCACCAACACAAGAGCTGCAAGTAAAATTACAAGGAACGCAGTTTCCATTTGAATCCATTCTATATCCTGCATTACAAACGCATTCACCATTTAAGAGAATAGCGTTTGCCTTGCATTAAATACAATTATTGATTAAACTACCAAAGCAAGAAGCACATGTAGGATTACATTATGAGCATAAAAATGGTTATAAGGATGATGGATAATAACCATTTTTGCATTAACAATACTAACCATTTGAGGTGGGAACAGCATTTTGAGAGCAAGCTGAACATTAATCATTAACTCCGCTACAAGTAGCACAACTATAATTACAAGAAGTTAAATAGACTTTTAGATCACGAATACCCCATCCATAAAGAGTTGAAGCTCCTAAAAAATTATCTTAGAATGTCAATTGAAGAGAGCTTGCTGTATGAGAAAATTAAACATTGTATGTCTAAATAACTCTATATGAATTGCTCTAACAATAATTTCTTAAATTTTATGTAAAATCAGGGAATTGAGTTGTAAATTATTAGTTTCCGTCAGCATTGAATGATAAGCTTCCTATTGAGCTGTATGCATTTTAAAAAATGTCATAAGAGCTGCTTTCTAAATTTTAAAAATAATTTTAATTTAAAAAATGGGTAAAAAAAATTATAAAAATATGTTAATTTGAAATTTTTAAGATAATTGATTTATTTTGTAAACTTATCAAATAATTTAAAAAAATTTTTTTTCTTTAAAGTAAATTATTTAAGATTTTTTAATTAATTTATTTAAAATATATCTTTTTACATAAGAAGTAGACTGTAAATACTATTTTGATTTGGGTGTGATTTGGGAGGTTGGTCAAAAGTTTGGAGACTTGAGTTCCTTATCCAAAGCCTTTAGAGCCATTTTAGACTGCTAAACCTCCTAAGATTTAAAGATTATCGTAGTTACTGCAAGTAGAGACTAGAGTATTTGACCATCCTTATAAATCTAAAGAGCTTAAAGATTGAGTAGTAAAATAAGTTTAAGTCAACATCCATTAAGCAAAACTGTATTAAACAAAGGCAATATAGAAAATGGCTGTTACCTAGTTAATCGCAGAGATTCTCATTTAGGTTAATTATTCTCTATTATATTTAATATTATTGTTTTTTAAGATATTATAATGAAGTTAAGGATAAAATCCTTCGAAGAAGCAGTTTTTAAATTAATTATTATTAGATAAAGAAAAGGATTAGTTTTTCTTTTATTTTTAATTAGTTGATTTTTAAATTTTGTTGTTATGATAATTCTTTATCAATCTTTATTTGAATCAACATTCTTATAATTGTTTATCGGTCAGAATTTATAAAGCTAATAGAAGTATACTTGAAGGCTGTACACCTTTTCGTGTTTTCTAGTTATTTAATTAAAATAGCTATATTAATTTGATTAAAATTTTGTATTATTCTTCCGTTTATTCAGATTAAAAAGCCACACTAAAAAGATATCTGAAATAACAATTATTAATTTATATAGTTGTTATAAATTATCTATATTAATATTCCTAAATAGATAATATCTAATGGTTTGTTTACTGACAGATAATTTAAAATGCTAAAACAAAATTTATCTATTTATGTACCTCAACTTAGTTTAATACAAAATACATTTATTTAGCAACATATTTTATAAAATAATATATATTTTATTTTTAATTTTTTATTCTAAGTCAATTTAATTTTAATATTTTCTAATTATTTTTTGTCAATTTTTATTAATAGCTTTTAAGCCTATTTAAAATAATAGATTAGGGTTTCCTAACTTAAAAGCTATCCCTAAATTTGGATTTACGCTATTATTTTAAGCATTCTTATTTTAGATTAGAGAAAATTCTTTTAAGTCTTACACTTTAAAACTTTTTATTTTTAGTTTTGAGTAAACTAACGTCAGCTATAAATATGAGCCAGCAGCAGTTAAATATATAGTTATTT